CCTGCTGCTTTATGGTTCGCACATTTTATTTTAGGTATTTTATCAAACCATTTGATTTTTTTTATGAGAAGTTATAATAGGACTTTAGAGGCCTTTTTTTACAGTTGAATTTAATGATCAGCTTCATTACATCCTTAATGTCTGACTGTGAATGCACGGAAGTGGCAGCAGGCATTGTAAAGCCCCATTTATACAACAGCAGGAAATGTCTCTTAATGTCTGAGTGAACTAAGTTGACCAATCAGCAGCATTTTAAAAATTTATAAAAATTATTATCAGCTTTTAATTAGAATACCGGATGGGCTTAAATAACCATTGGCTTTGAAGATGTGTGATGAAAGGTAACATGTGACATGAAGACAGAAAATCAGTGTTGGACTTGGTGGATCAAAACTTTAAAAATAGTTTAAATGTCTCATTTTGTTTTATCTTATGTTAAAGACTTAGACTTAGGACTTACTGTAGACTTAGACAACTTTTATTGCCATTTTGTATACACAGGGTATATACAAAACGAAATTTTGTTTACAGCTTTCATGACATTTCCATTCCTAAAAGTGCTTTGACTAAGATTTAATCCTTACAAACACGACTTACTGTAATGAAACAGGAACTCGAAAAGGCATTGGTTCAGGCTGAATCATATACATATTAACAAGCTATAATAAAGCCTTTACCCTTTTAAAAAAAGAATTATGCTGTTGGAACTTTTATTGGTAAACTAAATACTCTTAGGCTCAAAAAATCCTGATCTGTTTCAGTCTTTACATGACTTTCCCACGTTAGCATCTTGAAATTATCTCCGGAACCCTCCAAAATTAATGTTCCCTCTCGTAAAGATGTATACTAAATAGTTGCCCCGGAAACTTGTTGCTGTTATTTTTTAACAGTGATATTTAACACTCGCCTCTTCATTCTCCTCCCTCTGTGTTTTGGATGAAAAAGTTGGGCTCTTCATCCACCATTGTCTGTCAAAGTTCCAGGTGTTTAAAACATTTTCAAGCTTAGACAAGTCATTTATTTCTTCTACTATTTTCCTGACTTCTATAAAGTAAAGTTCATCTGTCACAGTATGTTCTTCTCTCCCCTTTTAATGAGTATTATGCCCAAGTTTCCTGGTGTTTTTATACACATGAACGACACATTCTAATCCATCTGTTTATTTAAAAATAACATTATTTGGTTGGAATTTTTAAGGATAACGTTAAGTATAGTAGGTAAGGGGTTGAAAAGTGTTTTGTTACTAAAACAAAAGCATTAAAAGTATTTTTTCTGCACCGTCTGAACAGTTAATTAGTTTTTAATGTGGGAGCCTCTAAATCTTTTCATTTCAACAACATGAGTTTAGAGCTGGTGTCAGCATGGTTAAAATGGCGGATATTAAAAACAACTTTTATATTCCTCTTGAAATTGATACTGAAAGTTAGTCAAATGATTCTATTCCGAGGTATATAACAGTTTGATTGTAACAGCCCAAAAGGATAATACAGAGAAGTATTGCTTTAATCCATGCTGCCTTCCTGTTATCTGCTCTCTCACCAAGGCTGAGTCAATCACAGACATGAGTCTGTATATCAGAGAAAATATTCTTTCCTTTTAAAAACTGTCTTACACATATGACTTTTAGTCAATTTTCAAACATTTTACAATTTTAAAGAGGTTTAATTTTTGTATTTTGTTACACCAGTCACTTTCTTCATGGTTCTCCGTGCTTTAACAAAGATGACAATATATGCTGAAGGTGCTACAGTATATTAAGGGCAGTCAGGTTCCATAAACTGATCAACTGAAAACCTATGAAAACATGGTTGCATATAGCCTTGCATGCTACATGCTGAACGCATAAATGAATCGGCGTCTGTATGCATGTATCAACTGCAATATAAGATATTTTGAAATATTGATAAGGCATAGATATTGCAAAGCTGCAGTCATCAAACTGTTTTTTTTTGTTTTGTCTTTTCATTAGCAAACAGATTTCTGTGAACCATTTCTGTCAGGCTGAGCCCTAAATCACTGCTCCTTAAGAATTTCAGCTCAACTTATATTTAGTTTAATTAACAATATATTTAGGCAGACATGTCAATATGCTTTGTTTCAGGGTTAGCAGCAGCCTTACCTTTAGCAAACTACTAATCTGCCTTTAGCAGCACTTTTCTTTGTGCTGTAAACTCCTCTCAATATTGCTGTGCTCATGTCACATATCATAATCAGCACTCTCCCATGATGCTTTCAGCGTGTTCTTATTAAATCTTTGCTATATGATGAATCATTTCATCTTGCCAAATTTAGGTTCCCACCATTCCGGATAATCTTACTCTGACATTCCTCTGGCTGCTCTGGGAGATACAAAAAAAAAAAGCAGAACAAAGACAAAAGAAGAAGAAAACCACAAGAATGGAATCTGAAGGAAAAAGCAGCATCAGACAACAAGGCTTATTTCTCACTGAGTTTGACCTCGTTTTCTTTTTTTTGTTGCAAACAGTGAACATCCATCATCCTCTTCAGTACATCTGCGGCGTACAGTTTTAGTAGGATAACGGAGAAGAACATCAAACTGATGGAAAGTTTGAATGGGATATTCACTATACTGGACAAATTCACTTTTGGTTTAAACATGAATGGAGGAAACGGGCAAGTTCAGCTTATTTGAGAAAATGAACAGAGTTGCAAGCTAAGCAAAACTGATTATATTCAGAAGCCTGCAGTTTACAAAAATACAGCCTGTTTATTTAGAGTTATAATGAGGAATGACAACTTAACAGAATTATCCTTAAGCTTATCCACAGCCTGTTATTCACCTCTATATGTAAACAGCTTTTGGTTCAGATTAAACCAAATGAACATTTCAATAAGGTTAAATTATTTGGCTATGAAAGACTATAAATAAAAAAAATGGGGAAAAAAATGTTAGAAGACAAAAATCAGTCACACAAATTAAAACCATCATCATGCATCTCCCCATGTAGCAGTTTACGGTAACGTACTGACCACATTTAAGGCCTGCTGTTTTTATTTTACGCTGGTGGGAAACAATGCAATGAATCAGGAATGATCAATGTTCAAGCTACCCAGGGACTCATCCATCATCACGTCTTTAAAACACAAAAACCCTCTGTTTTATAAAAATACATTTTTATTTATTTTTTTAAATGCATTTAAAGCATCAAAGTCTGTTCAGAAATGTTAATAAATCACAATTATATGGAATCTCACATTCAAATTCAGCCTGGAATTATGAATTTTGAACCAGGGTGGAATGGTAATACAACATCATTTAAGAAAAGATATTTGTCTTTATTGTGGCTTTTCTAAAATCCAAACAGGTTGGAAATTGCGCTAACAAGCTTAAGCATATTCATATATCCCTACTAATTTTTTATATGAATTCCCTTCAACAAGCTGCAAGGAAGCAAACTGCCTTTATCCACATCAACGAGTTCTAACTGTACCAGGAAAATGGGAAAATAACCACGATTCTCTCGTTTGAATTGTTAGGTTTCTTGTTATGGGCAGAAAGGGCCGTTACCAAGAGCATTTCTAAAGCTTAACAACATCATCAAAACCAGCTTCTCTTTGTTTTTGGAAATATCCTCCTGATAAAAAAAAAAAACAAAACAAAAAAAACCAGCCCAATTTAAGACAGTTTTTTTTTTATATTTCTAAACCAGTTTGTAAACATTTGACCCTGTTTGAGTTTAATAAGAAATAAAAAAAACTCAACATGCGAGTCTAATTTGTGTGTGCCATCTGTAAAGGGCAGTTTAAATAAACTTAAAGCAAAAGTTAAAATAACCATCCATGTCGAAAACACCTTTTAGTAAAAATACCTAACATTTGTCTGCTCCCATGTATGAACATCATGTTATGGCTAGTTCTTTGCAGCCTAAACTCCTCCGTCCACATAAACCAAAGAGAGAGTAGGAGGCAGCGTCCTGTGGGCGCTTTGTGAGGTTTTGTTAAAGGATCTGAGACCGGCTCTTAAGTGTTGCATGTTTTAGTAAAACCCTGGGAGTGGTGCTCCCTAGTGAATTGTCACTGGTTACACCACAAATACAAGGCATTTTTTTTCCCTACTCGCTGCAGAAAGACAAATCTTTCCTCAGTAAATTTCTAGCTGCAGGACAGTGTGACAGACTTCAAACTCTCGGTTGTTCCTTAATTAAAAACATGCATCATTTGTTTTGGTTCATGGTTCTTGCATCCTGTGGAAATACAAATAAAAAATCTATTTTTCATCCATGTTGCCTCCGCATTTGATTAATGTGGATGACATCACTGGCTTTGAAAGTGTGAGCCGGACATATTTGGATAGATGCAGAACAGTGTTTTAGTGCCATGCGCATTCTTGTGAGAAACATGTGGCTAACTCAGCCAGCTCCCCGTGTAGCCTGGGGATCCTTCTGAGCCGCTGTTTTTCTCTCTTGTTCCCTCTCTCTTACTCTGATTTTTTTCTATCACTCTTGCCCGCTCTGTCACTTTCAGAGCCTTTTTTCTTTCTTTTTTTTTTTTTTTCTAAATTCCCCTGTCTTCTACCAACCAGATCAGCTGTTGGAGTCTCCAGATCTTCTCCCGTGTTCTGTTTTTGCACATGCAAATCTGAACCAATCGTCTCCACAATAGGCTCTCAGGCCAAATCCCTCATGTGTCACGCACATCAGGGTAGAGCTCGCACAGTCTGCCTAAACTCCTTAAAGACGCTTTCCTTGTGTAACAACTCTCTGTTGCTCTATATTGTTTTGTAACTCTGCACAACTTGAATGCGGCACGTTCCTCATGATTTAGTCAGCCTCATCTTGACCCAGTTTCAATTCTGCCTGTAATGGAGCAGCCTTGTATCACGTTTATATACAGATGTCTTTAAAGCAACCTCCTCCCAAAAAGTTGGGAAAAAAAATTATCTGTGAAAATGTCTTAGTATGAAATCTGTTTATTAGACAATTGTTTCCCTGAGATGTTTCCAGCTGACCCTCTGACTTACTGTTTCTTGTGGTTTCCAGGGAGACATCCAGCAGCTAATGATTGTAGCAGACCACCGGGCTGCATATGACTACTGTGAGCACTACAGCCCCGACTGTGAGGTGCCGGTACCCGACCGACCACAAAACCAGGACCCCAATACGGATGAGGATGTGAGTTCAGTCCTTTTCTCCTTCATCATATATTCAGTGTTTATAGTTTGCTTTTACATATTTCCTGTAATTGTAATTGCCTCTGATAGTCTGTTTAAAATGATGATTGGTTTTGCAAAAGAGCCCCTTGGCCCATGCTCGAGAACATCAATGCTGCCAGAGGAAAAATGCTGAGTGAGAAGAACTGGGTTATCAGTCTGTGCAGTTAGTCAATAAAGTTTAGAAATGATGATATGCTGCTTGCTCTCCTCTACTGTATGCTGTAGGCATTGCACTGTGTACATGCTGATTATTGAATAGAAAAAAATCCAACAAGAACTGAAAGCTCCTTATCCTCATAAAAAATGCACAAAATTCAATTAGGCAGCAGGAGAAAACTAGGGAGAACTTCATTATAACCGGGAAAAACCCATTCTACACTGACAGGGATGTTTAACAGCTTATTTATAAAGCAACATTTCACAATAAAGCATTCTCTAAGACAGGTCAAATTTTTATCTATTTATTTGATCAAATAAAATTAATACCAATGCAATACAGCTATAAAGAAAGATTCAGATTATGTAACTCTAAGTACACGTTAATCCTGAACACCAAGAATACCTATGGGTTGAAAGGTGGACAACAAGAGAGATCAATACGGAGCCGATTTTTATTTTCCCCTTCATTCTCTTACAAAATGTGACTCTGTGTTCACTTATGGCATCCTTATACCTTAACTTGAAGTAGAACTCATCGATTTTTGTATTTTACTGTAATGGTGGACGTCTCAGAATCCCAACAACCAGTTAAAGGTTTTCTTCTTCTTCTCCCATTTATTTCTCTCAACCTATAATTACCTCCTGGACTTGTTTCAAATCATGATTGGTTCTTGAACATTGAAGAGGCTTTTCGCTTGGGTTAGAGAACTGCACTCAGCCAGGCCAGGGGAAAGTGCTGAGTGTGAAGAACAGGGCTATCTGAGCAGTGCAGTCTGCATCATTGAACTGCATCAATAAAGTTCAGAAAACTGATTTTTTTTTTCCATGCCTTTTTTACTGCCCTGTAGGCTGAAAGGCATTACACCTTCACATGCTAAATAAACAAGTCAAAGAAGTTGCAAAACAGGAAGTACTTGTTTTTGAATTGTTAAATACCCTCAAGGTATACAAATCATTTCCACTTTGGAAACAAGTGACAGACTCATTAGAAAAATCAAGAACCAATTAGTCAGTAAGTAGTTGCAGGTTTTTGGTGATGCTGCAAGTATAAAACAATTCTCATTGATGACTAATCACCCAGAGTCATGTTAATCGTTGATTGTTGTCCTCTCCTGCCAGTTACAATCCCAATGTCTGCCTACTTTAGGTTGTAGAGGAGGACAACTACTACTATGAATACCCTTATTATGATGACATTGAATCCAACCCTAACTCGAAGGTCTACGACTCATATTCCGACACAGAGACGACAAACAAAGAAGTCAAGGTAGTCAACTTTAATACCTCATAAACTACTTGCCGAAACTGATCTTTGAAAGTAATGCTTAACAATTTGTGTGATAACATTGACTTACAGGAGACCGTCGGCAGCGTGGTTTCCACGGTTGAGGAAGTTGTTAGGCAGGCTGGTGGCTCTGCGTCTGTTTCCACCAGCTCATCATCATCCAGCTCATCGTCATCCAGCTCGTCTTCCAGCAGCTCGGCCACTGGCACCGGAGGGGATGACTCCTACGACTACTACCCCTACGGCGACACCAACTACGACTATGGCGAGTCGACCCCCGCACCCGACGGCGACACCACTAAGCGTGTCACCATCACCAGCATCGGCTCCGGGGGTGAGGTGGATCTGGGAGCAGGGGGAAGGATTGATCTGGAAGCTGGGGCTGGAGTGGACAGGAAGGTTATCACTACCGGTGGTGGATCGACAATAACAATCTCTCGCAATTCAACATCAGTAAGTTAAATGCCAAGCAAAGTCAGATTGAATGTATTTTACTGCAGGTATAAAAACTTCCCTTCAAAATGAATGTACTCCTTGTTAAAGTTAATGTTTTTTTACTAGAAGTTAATATGATAGATCAACATAGAGTAGTGCTTAGTTTGAAGGAGTTTAACTGTAACATATTGATAGTGTATTCTAATAGGTTTTTAGGGATACAACAGTTTTGCAAGCTAGAATGACAGATAGCAGTCTTTACCTAAAACAATGTCTGAAATGTGTTACTGGCCTTTTTCTTTTGAGCCCTTTCTCTTCTCCAATGGAACCAATTCGCTGCAAAAGGAAATTTAGTTGGTGTGTAGAGAGATTTGTCAAAGAACTTTAATGTAAATTGATCCCATGCATTAAATATGTATTGCTGAACTGTTTAGTTCATCATTCAGAAAAAAAGCATATGGTATAGCACTTTAAAGTCCCATGCATATGCTTGAAACAGCATATGTACATATTGAAAAAAGCTAGTGAGAGTATCTTGTAGACAATTTATTTAGCACGGATAGGGACATTTGCAGGAAGGTAGAAAGAGCTATGCAAAGGGTAGACTGTTAGTGTAAAAGACGTGGACTGGTGCAGAGGTTTAACTTCCAATGGGACAAGAGCTTTATACATGCAGCCAGTGCTGCAAAGGTCTAAATGAAGACATGATAATGTTTGTAATTGAACCAAAGTTCAGACTTTAATCCAGCTTAAACAACACGGGAAAGCTGATTTTTATGTATATAGTCCCGATGTGGTCAGACAGAACTTAGACTAGAGTAGAATAGAAAATCCCTTTTTTGTCCCACAATGGGGACCTTCTGGAATAACTTACGCTATTCTGCAAAGAACTGGCAAGAATGTCTTTACAATAGGTTTGCAAAGCTAGAAGAGGGAACTTGCAGTTATATTTGCACAATTGTGGTTCTACAAAACCAGATACTGAGGTCAAGATGCGATGAAATGTGAGGTCTTAGAACTATCTAAAACATGTTTTTGTAAGGTTCTTTATTCTCACTTTTTTTTTTCATTAACAGGGTGGAACATCATCTTACAGCGACTATGACGATGGCTACGATTACAACTACTACACTACTGAAGATGGTGGAGGCAGTAGCAGTTCTGTTGTACTCGGTGGTGGTGGAGGAGGAGGAGGCAGCAGTACTGTTTTAGTCAGTGGTGGTGGAGGAGGAGGAAGCAGCAGCAGCAGTACAGTTGTAGCTGGCGGAGGTGGTGGCGGCAGCAGCAGTACTGTTGTAGTTGGTGGTGGCGGGAGCAGCAGCAGCAGTACCGTTGTAGTTGGTGGTGGCGGCGGCAGCAGCAGTACCATTGTAGTTGGTGGAGGCGGCGGCAGCAGCAGTACCGTTGTAGTTGGCGGTGGTGGAGGCAGCAGCAGCAGCAGCTCTACCATCACTATTGGAGGTGGATCTACTGGAGGAGGATCTGTTGGCGGCGGTTCTGTAACCGTTGGAGGATCTTCGACTTCTGGAGGGAGCTCAGCCTCTGCTGGCGCTGCAGCCGGTGGGGGAACTGAGGACGACCTTACCATCGATGGAGCTGATGACTACACAGAAAAGTTCAAAGAGGACCTCTTGAACTATGATCCAGCAGACTATGATTTATATGAAGAATACGGAGGCAAAGAGCTGCCTGCAGAGACTGATTATTTTGGACAGGTAAATCCAAAGATTGGACTCGACAGATATGATGCTAGCAATTATGAGGATTCTATGATAAAAGTGAGGGAGAGAAGCTAAAAGTGACATATTTTTGTATGTTCTATTTGCAGGTTGACGGCGCCCGCGGCGAGAAAGGACAGAAGGGAGAGCCTGCTGTTATTGAGCCTGTGAGTATCTCTGTTTTAACAACAGACCCAGGCGGCAGATATAAGCTGCATGTGTGCACAGTTTGGGGACATTTGCACATATGTGTGAAGCACTCGTAAACATGAGCCATCCGTTGTTTAGGAATGTTCCTTCCAAATGTATTTATTATGGATAACTAAACCTTCCTTGTTGAAGTGTCTTAGCATGGCCTCGCTCATGGATGCTCAGTGTAAACATTTGGAAAAGGGCCATGCAGGGATTGTCAATAAACTCTAAACACAGGTTGAGTGGAAACCAGGAGGTGGAAAGGGACATGGACCAGGAAGATACAAAGAAGAGGGACTAAATAATTCTTTGGGCTCATACTGACTCTAAATTAGACTATTGCACACATCTGTAGCGATGACTCACTTGGTGAGTTTGGAAATGTATACACAGATAGAATGAATATGCCTAATGGACCTACAGCTGTTTCACTTCAAACAAATAGCAAAGACCTGAGCTTAGTATACACATGACCAAGCACATGTGTTTCTAAGTGGAAGCACAACTGAAATAAAAAGGTGAATGGTTTCCAAAGACTTTTACTAATAAATGGGCAACATGCATCCACTCTGAATACACATTTCCATAGTTAAAGACTGGATGGGAATATTTTCCTTCAGCAGTGACAGAGAAGATAATGAGAACTGATGGAATGAAGAATAAAGCTAAATATAGAAAAATCTAAAACTTTCCTCTTAGGATGGTGCCTGACCTGCACATTTATAGGACATTCTCTAAACATTCTCTAAGTATTGCTTGAGAAATAATGACCAATCTCTATAAGAACGGATCACAGCTAGTGTACTCTATCTTATTTATTTAAGCCTAAAATATTTTGTTATATAGTAACAAAGTAACTGTTACATTATGTTGCTTTTAATATTACACCAAAGCTACAAGTAAAGGCATTAAGTCAAACAGCATAACGACTGAAATCGCTGCTATAAAATACAAAAATTGCAAAATTATGCAAGTTTTTACACTAGAGGACTTTATTTCTTAGAAAAAAGACCTGACCAGGAAGTTGGGAGAGAAATTGGGGGCAGGAATTAAACCTGTGATAGCTGCTTCAAAGACCAAGGCCTTTGAGGGTCTGACTTGTTACTCCTGCACCACTGATGTGCCCAATATAACCTTTTGAACTAAATTCAGGCTGTGTTTTTCCTCTATTTATACATCAGAGCCTTACTACAATAGGAATATTTAAGGTATAACTATAAAAGATGTTAATTAGATTTACTCTTCTGACAAACACTTAAGCCTTCTTTGTCTGATAGGGACTTTCATCACTGCTTTCCAAAATCAAATATTATTTCCATTTTTCAATCATCGTAAAACCTGATGATATGAACCTGATGATATGCTGACAGACCCATGGAGGCGGATGATGTAGCTGTTGACTCCTGGTCAGTTTGGCCCTTTATTCGATTGTAGAGTCATTTCACAATCAGGTTTCTTTTTGATCTTGTCTTACTTTCATTGCTTAGAAGTAAAAAAAAAACATGGTAGTCATGTTGAAAAATGTGTTTTTTCTTTGTCTGTTGCTTTTCTTTTATTACAAAACTTTGCAAAAAATGACAAGGATCCAATATAATAAATTGTTATCGGATGGGACTTTAGACAGTGTTTACACTTTCTTGTTTTATTACGTTTCTAGTGATACAGATTGTGAGGAAAATAAAAAAAAAATACACATTTTCAAACAATGAGTACATTTCCCTTTGTGTTTTCACAGTGACACTAGAACACAATCACATATTACTAACTAAAACTTGGAGGTAGGAACAATTGGAACAAAAAAAAAAGTTTACAGGGAGTGTTTAGACCACATTTGGAAAAAAAAAATAGCACTCCAAATCAGGGTGAATTCCAAGCTAAAACAGAAAGCCACATCATGCTCCTGTTAAAACGTGGATTTCTTCTTGATAGTCAACATCCAGTTTAGTTCCTCCAGATAAACGAAAACCTCTGATATCTTTGCTTTTTCATGTAATTCTCATTTTCTTTTCCATTCACCTAATTGGAAGCACAAATGATGGATGGAAAGGAATGTTTATTGAATTCCCAAAGCCCAGGTTTTGATAGGCAGGTGTGCCTGAGGCAGGTTTTTTACTGATGATCAAATGTTTCTTCTAAAGCAGTGAAAGCTTCTGAGTACATAATGGGACATAGTTGTACTCAGATTTGTACTTTATAGTTCAGGTCATGATATTGACCTGTGAAGCATGTAATTATATTGTTGTTTGTATGTTTCAGGGTATGCTAATGGAGGGTCCGCCTGGGCCTGAGGGGCCAACGGTAAGTCAGTTGTTTTTGTCAAATTCTGCCTTTTTAACACCTCCTGTTTTAATATTGTTAGCCAAAGTTTATGTCACTTATTTACTGCATTGCAAGTTCAAAAAATTACATGGATGGTGAAAATGAATGGTCATTTCTGCATTGGAATATACAAATGTTTGCATTTTCGCTAATATTTAAGAAATTTTGTAAAAGACAGATCTTACAGACATCCTTCTGATGGTGTCCTCCAGAGGAAATCTAAACTTTGACTTGATGTAGCCAAGTCAAAAGTCAAAATTGAAGTGTAAACAGATACCAGATAAAAAATCAACAAGACCTCCCATCTTCTTTGTGGCAGCTTTAAATTTAAGACTTAAACTACGTGGCGTAAAATGTGTATTTGGAAGTTAATTAAGGTTTTTCTGTGTGAAATAGGGTCTCCCTGGACCCCCAGGATCCTCTGGTCCACCCGGCAGTCCTGGAGATCCTGGAGAGAGGGTAGGAAAGATTTAATTTTTAGAAATATTCATGAACAAAACAAATTCGGCTCGTTTTTGAGCTCTTTACACACAATTCTTTTAAAGGGTCTTCCAGGTCGACCTGGTCTCCCTGGAGCTGATGGTCTGCCAGGACCCCCAGGAACTGTCCTGATGCTGCCTGTAAGTAAACTTTATTTGTATGTTTTTATTTTTAAGGGCTGAAACATTTCCTGTTTTTTTTGCCATCATTCTCTGGTCCAGTTTAAAAACAGTTTTACCAATAACCCTGACACATGTTTCAGTCTGTGTTCTTAGAGGAAGGGGGTTTTCCAATGGGTCCCATTGCAAATCTGTTAATATGGATGTAACGTTTTAAGAGCAGCCCCTTGTGGTGCTGGAGTGAAATGGCCCCACTTGAACTCTATAAACAGCACGCATCTGCATTTTTAACAGAGATTCTTGAGTCCAAACTTTACAAATCAAGCATCTTTCCAGGAAGTTGTATGGCTTTGACGAGATACAAAACAATACCGTTGAATGTAGCTTTTGCTGCAGCGGATCCTACTGCGAGTTACACAATCATCCCAAAAAACTCCTCTGCTGTGTATCAATTCTCCCATTTCCCTGTACTTGGAAGATGCTCTCAGGCCTAAATACTTGTACAGATGTGAAATTTTGTGGCTTTGTTGATTCACAGATCTCTTTTGGCGGAGACGTGTGGCAAACTGAGTCTGGACAGTGAATCAAGTAGTTCTGGCATATCCGCAGGCATAGACCGGCATTGAAATGCAACACCCCATTTCTAATGAGAAACATGCATCTTTGTTTTGCTGTTCTTTCAAGCCGAGCACAGTTTTTGGTTCCTTTATTTGACAATGGGAATCCAGGGAAATGCGGTAAACTTGACCGTGAATCAATTTTTCATGCTTGATTCGTGGTAATGTTGATCAATGGTTGGATTGGCTGGAATTTTTTTTATTACTCTTGATGGTTGGCATTTGTCAAATATCTAAAATCTGCACTGGTTAAGTCTTATAAACAAGAAAACCAAGAGTTAGTTAGACTGACAACAATAATAGTGGATGGGTAAAGAAAGATGTCAATCAAACAGGCCAGGTAGAAAAATTATCTTAATTATTATCTTAATTATCTAAAACAGTTATCTTAAAAGGGACTTTTTAGAGTTATTCTGTGTCCTGTGCTGCACTTTAACAGAATTCTCTCAAGTTTGCGGCACCAAATCCACTATTTGTATTACTGCATCCTGGCTCCTGTGGTTTTGAAATTCGGTGTCAGGTCTCACGTTCGGTTTGTTTATCTGTAAGCTTTCAGTCAACCTCATGAGGACTGTATAAGGTTCAATCCAAAGTATCTCAAAGAAAAAAAATGAAAATCATGATCTGCATCCCAATATTTCCACTCATATTGTAATACTACCCTGTGACCACCAGATGGCAGTAGAATTTGAACCTGCTAGGCAACAATAGCAGGTTAGATTAATACTCATTTCATCTTTTGTTTTTTCCTAAAGTGAAGAAAACTGCCACAAACAAATATTGAAGACAAGCATGCTTAGTGTGAGGGATTGTGTTTGAGTCAATGAGTCGATGCAATCAACTGGTTTTCCTTAGATAGAAAACTTTGTATCAATTTGACTGTATGATCTGTTTCAACTGTAAAGTGCCTTGAGATGACATGTGTTGTGAATTTGGCGCTATATAAATAAACTGAATTGAATTGAAAAATTGAAGACATTAATTTTTCTCAAAGAAGTGGCATTTGTTTACTCTGCCTTGAGCTGATATTTTTGTTGTGTGTATTCTCCCTTCGGTGTTTTGTGGTATGCTCTTTCCTGCAGTTGAATAAGTGAAATATGTCTGTAACATTTTCTCCACAGTTCAGATTGAGCGCCGGAGGGGACTCTGGGCAGAAGGGACCAGCTGTTTCAGCACAGGAGGCCCAGATGCAAGCCATCATGCAGCAGGCCAGGGTAACATCTCACAACCAAACATATTAAGTTACAGCGTCATTCGTTGGCTAACAGCTATGACACACTGTATGCATTTGGTCTTTAAGCAAGAAACGTGTTTACACACCAAAGATGCAGCCTTGTTAGACCCTAATACATCTTAATCCTAAAGCCTCATTTTGATCTGTTTCATATTATTTCCTGCCTTTTTTCAGCTGGCTATGCGTGGCCCAACTGGTCCGATGGGTTTGACTGGCCGACCTGGCCCTCTGGTGTGTATATAACATCCCCAATCAGTAAACACTAAAATAAATGCATTGATATGTTGTCCATATTGAAAAACCTAACCGTAATTTACTTTCCCAGGGTCCACCAGGTGCACCAGGACTCAAGGGAGAATCTGGAGAAGCAGGACCTCAGGTACAAGATGTCGGAGTTTAACCATTAGATCTATTTTATTCGAACCATGCCTGTTTATATTTTAAACTAAACAGATTATGGAAAGTATACACTGCCTGTGATTGACCATGTTTTGCATTAGGGGCCACGTGGACCAATGGGCTCAAGTGGACCCACTGGAAAGCCTGGCAGAAGGGTACGTGTTTGAGGAAACATTTGTTGTAATTCAACAAATTAATTGAAATATCTATGTCCACTTTTCTGAATTATAAGTGGCTCATGTTCTTCATTAAAGCTGTTGGTCTTTTAAGTCCTCAATTATTCATCCAGTTGTTTGTTGCAGGGTCGTTCTGGAGCAGATGGTGCCAGAGGAATGCCAGGACAGACTGGACCTAAGGTATTTTTACATCTATAATCACACTTTATAAAACCAGTCCAAAAACAAAAAGTTTAGAGTCGGAATGAGACTGATTTCTTTTTTCCTTTTTTTTTTTTCTGCTTTTAATAGGGCGACAGGGGTTTTGATGGCCTAGCTGGGCTTCCTGGTGAAAAAGGACACAGAGTAAGAGATTTTTATAGCTATATAAAACTAATTTCAGCTTTGAGGGAGCGTAAAATGTAATAATATCTTTTTTTTTATAGGGAGAACCCGGCCCCTCAGGACCTCCTGGTGCTCCTGGCGAAGATGGAGAGAGGGTAACTTAAGAAAATATGATTTGACGGCTGCTGTCTCATTTTGCTGTGTCAAAGAGATGTAGATCTGTTGTGACTCCATCCTTTCTCTCTAAGCTGAGAGGATGTATTTCTTCCACTCAATCTCTTATTATTTCCTCTTTCTCACTATTCACAGTTTACCTCAGATGATCTTAATCTCACCTCCTTTTGATTTTTTTTTCCCCAGTCTCCATAACCCACATATCCTCTCATTGTTCTCTATTATCATTCTCTGTCTGTCCACAGTCTAACCCTGGCTCTGTCTCATTCACAGGGGGATGATGGAGAGATCGGACCCAGGGGACTTCCTGGTGAACCAGTGAGTGATTGCTTGTTTTTTTCATTCAGTCTTACTCCACGATATTGTGTGATGGGTAGGAGGCGGGTGGGGATGTGTTAGTGCTCAGGGCCTCCTGTCATCCTGTAATTGCATCAGTGGTGTGATGATATTATATATCAACTGCAGGCTGCTCTCCTTACACTACATTCTCATCGGCTGAGATTTTTTAACCTTATACTGCTGTGTTTAACAGACTGCTCACCGTTGTCTGGAAATGAGAAAATCTGGTAGTGCGCATCAGGGTTGTTAAAGCCTCTGACACCCACTCAGGCAGGATGTTCATTACAGAGAGCAGGGGGAGGGAAAAGGAAAAGCAAAAAACATATTGTGTTATGATTCTTTCTGGCCACCAGGGTGTGCAGCCTGAGTTTGGATCATTTCTGTCAGGACAATAAGTCTAGTTAGGTAACTGTGAGACCTGAGAGGCATAGCAGAGAAATTCAAACGGAAATGCAGCAGAAAGAGATATAATAGAAAGTTATAATAGAAATATAATAATGAAATTAGTTATCTCTCAAATACACTCTGCACATCTTTAACATTATTAACAGTAATAATAATACTGTATTTAACAAAAATTCAGATATTTTATGTATCTTTTTTTTTCATTTTATAGACTTTTTTATTTACAACAATGAAAAAATATAAACGAAATTTAGAAAATAAAGTTTAAAAAAAAACATTTAAATCATGATAGTATAAGATTAAAAGCTAATAATACATGGAAGGCAACCTTAAAAAGATGGCGGTTCAGAGAGAATCAATATAACGAAAATGATGATAGAGACAGTTTTAAAGACAAGGGGGAAGAGGTGAAAGCTTCAGTAGTACAGTGAGATAAATAGAGAGGGTGGAGCCCTGACTAAGTGACGGCACGATGCTCTGCAGAAGATCAGACGCATGGTGGTGCATAGATCTAGAGATACTTGAAAGCAAGAAGAAGAACCTTGAAATCAGTGCTGCAATTAGGAAGCCAATTAAGTTGTGAGGACTACAGTGTCTACTAAATAGCTATGCATAACTTTGTGTTACAAAATAGTCAGTTTGAAATATAACTGTAGCATTCCCCAAGAACAGCGTTAATCATACCAGTTACAAGAATGACAGCATATTCTCTGATTAATATTATAGATATGTTGTCAATGTTTGGGGCTGTTAACAATGACATGGAAGCTTTTTAAGCAGGAGGAATTATCAATACATCAAATTTAAAAAACAGTTTTAGTTCTGTCAAGAAAAAGTACAGCTTTTTCTTTGGTGAATTTAGGAGAATAGAAGAGAAGAATCAGGGTTTGTAGACTGACACAGCAGGCTTTTATAAGAATACAGAGAATATTTGACACACCTCTTAAAAACATTTTGCAAAAACTTTAAACATACAATTTTTTTTTTTGGGTGCAGTTCATTAAAAGGTTAGCTTTGATAACCCATGTTCAGCTAACCTGCTACACATATAAGAAAATTAAAAAAAGAAAAGAAACAGATAACCATTTAGACAGCTGTCAGCCTTGTCTGTGTCACACGTCTTTAGACAAATATGCTGCAGACACACACAGGGCACATAAGTCACACAAGCAGCTCTGCATGTTAGAGTATAGTTGATTTAATTAACAATAAAACAGCTAGTGTGGAAGCAAGTCTTTTTCCCTCCATGGTATCATATTCAGTCATTAACAAACAAGAGAAAATAACTGTGCATTACTGTCCACTGAAAACATGCCCATAAAAATCAGTTTAACCATAATTTTCGTGTGGAAAAAATGCTGGCGTGATTGTGTAGTGGGGGAAAGATGCCTCTTTGGATTTAAAGACTTTCAGCAGAAATGTGTCCACCAATGATGCGAAGAGACCCTTCGGTTAGCCAGAATTTGTAATTTAACCAACAGCCTTCTCTGTTTGAGAGTTACTCAATATAATTCAAATTTAATTAAATAATTCTTAACACAAAAAGGAAAGAAAATTAAAAAACTAGAAAAAAATACTGGGGTTATATCTATATAGAAAATAGACATCGAAGTGAAAGGATCTTGCAAAGTTGTACAGAAAGCAGAATAGCTTGATTTAAATGTACACAAACAGTCAGATATGGTGAAGTTACATAGAACATGGTGACATCTACAAAGATTGTGAAAGTTCATAACATATCCTGCAATTATTAACAAAAGATACTAGCTGGATGATAATCATAAGTGGGTTTAAGACACAGTTCTGGTGAAAACAATGGGCAAATTGTCCAAGAAGCATGCATGTGGTCAACAGCCATACACAGAATGGAAAAAAACTAAAGAAGAAAGACGGATGTCAGTTATTAAATATGATCAAGGACGAGTAAGATTTAAGCACCTGAGTCAGAAGCAAGTATATATTCAAAAGGACATTTGTGAACGGGGGTTATTTTCAGACGTATCATTTTGAAACAGGATTTAATTATTCATTAGACCTCTCACTGGTGTAATATCACCCTCAATCTCATTTCCCTGCTTTATCACCCCAGGGACCTCGTGGTTTACTGGGGCCAAAAGGACCTCAGGGACCTCCTGGACCACCTGTAAGTATCACATTCTTTCCTATTATTTCATATCTTCTGCATCACTGCAGCTTTACTATTTACAGAGCAGAATACATTTCCAGCATATCGTGGGCAGCTACAAAGAGAACAGACAACGCCCACAGGGACATACCTACCTCAATATATCTCACAGAGACTGCACATTAAGCAGCACATTATTGAGTTTATCTTCAAGATTTCAGAAATATTTCTACCACGAGACAAGACTAACTATAATATTTATGGATTTAATTTTGCACGAACAATGAGCATTTGGCAAGTAGATTTTGAAACTTTGCATAAAATAGACAATTTCTTTTGAATTTTCCCCTCAGCAGTTTTAAAAGATGAAATGGTGTTAAAAAGCTTTTTATTTCAGTGGATTAGAGATTTGCTTCTTTAACGCCTGATATTCTTTTCCTTATTCCTATGACAGGGAGTTACTGGAGCGGATGGCCACCCCGGACCCAAAGGAAATATTGTAAGTTAAGACTGAACCAATTAGGATAAAAAAAAAAAGAAAAGGAAAGGCAAAAGTAAACTGGAATAAAAGAATATTAAATTGTATTGCTTTAATCATTCTGAGCATTTTTAATCCCCAAAAGTGGAAAAAAAAAGTACTGATGAGTCCTTTCCAGCACTTTCCCACACATATATAAACAAATCCACATTAGTACTATCAGAGAATACACCCATGGCTAGTTGTACAATTTCCACTCAATTCCTGCCAGCACCCGGCAGTAATGAGAGAATATCTTACCAGAGCGGTTTGTTTGCTCTTTTGGGAATCTTCCAACAAGGTAGAGATGGAAGATCAACAACTTGCCCAGAGTCTTGAAATGAGGCAACGTAATTGATAGCTGGTTATCCTAGAAGAGATGCTGTTTATTTGTTTGTGGTTCAGCAGTTTGCAGCATGAGGAAATTAGGTCTGAGAATGTTCCCTGCATATGTGCATTGAAAAGGATAAAATTCTAACATTTGGCTACAAATTATTACAGGTTTGGGGTGCATAATCTAGTAATGCATATATATATATATATATCTATCCATTGGGAGATATTTTATTTTACATAATGTATTTTATGCAACAGTTGCTCTGTTTTTCTATTGAAGACGACCTTGTCAGTTTATAATAAAATCTCTAAAGTTATATATTTGTTTTTTTTCCAGGGACCTCAGGGAGAGCCAGGCCCTCCTGGACAGCAAGGCAACCCCGGTGCTCAGGTAAGTTAGTTACAGGTTGTCTTACATTAGATATCCCCTCATCAATCAGAGGAAAGGTTCTAAGCATTTCTTTACTTTCTCCACAGGGACTCGCAGGGCCACAAGGACCAATCGGACCTCCAGGAGAGAAGGTAGCAAAGCAAACCTGCTGAATATGTTATTCCTGCTGGGAGAAAAAAACAAAAAAACTGCTGGCATGATAAAATGTTAATACCTGCAGACCAAAAATCTTTAAAATTACTGGAGTTTGTCTCATTCATTTGCATGAGCCAGATAGCCAAGCTACTATCATATTCAGGCCCAGATGCTTATACTTATGCAAACACGTCTCCATACTCAGCTTAGAAATACTGCCCTACATGCAGCTTAGAGTTATTTAAATCCTGATGCATTTTAAAAAAATTACAACCATATAACATTCTCTGGCTGACATTGTAGATTATTAAACAGTGAGATTTAAAAAAATAATAGCATGGGGGGTATGTTCCACTGTTTTTTTTCAAAATTTTAGCCTTGAAGAGGATAAAGTAAAATCTATCCTCTCTTTTAGCCCATTAGCTGAAGAAAGGATTAAACAGCTCAGGCTTGGGGATCTGGTTACTTTTCTAACCTATATAGTCTATCATAGGCTAATACAAAAGACAGCCTTGCATATTGTGTAAAAAGGGACTCTTCTAAAACTCTTACTTGTCTTCTTATCATCAACATTGATACAGTATATGTAAAAAAAAATCATCATCATCAGCTTCACGTTCAACTCCAATAGATTGAATATATATATATATATATATATATATATATATATATATATATATATATATATATATATATATATATATATATATATATATATATATATATATATATATATATATATATATATATATATATATATACATACATTGTACACATACATTGGGGTCTGTTATACACCTTTGTTTAAAGGTCTCAGTTTTTATAATTTAGTATGATCACATAAAGTGACGTTAAGTTTGAAGTTTTAACAGAGAAAAGCTTTGAATGGCACAATTTAGAATATAATTTGCCCAAAATTAGCATTCTAGCTGCTAATGATTTTTCTTAAGATGGTGAAATTTTATCTAAAATGGCTATAAAATTTCTCTTGTGTAGAAACCTTTGGGTTTTTTGGAGTTTGGTCCATTTTAATTCTTATCAAGTGATTATTTTAATGCTTCAGTAGGTCCATCCGACTTTGCTTTACATTTAAAAGCTGGTAATTATATTGGATGAGAAACTAGATATAAACTTCTTTTTTATCTTTCTATTATTTTGGCAGTGTTTTCTTTTTTTTCTTTCTCAGCTATGTCTCCTCACTTTTTTTGTCTTGGTGTCACTTCATGTGCAACCTTTTTAAAAAGTTAGTTGTGCTCCTTACTTTCACAGAGATACTGCTTCTGTAAAGGTTTACACTCATATGAGAAGAACCAAAAAAGGCTTTTTAAAATTCAGTTCAATTAAGTCACTCCCCATCATTTTGTATTTTCAACCATATCATTGTTGTATTGGTACAACAGTAAAGTATGTGACAGAATGTCAAATACTTTTGTCACAGAATATGATTACTTGTAAGTAATCATATTCTGTAACTGTAAGATCGTTTTAAATAGGAAGATATACCTGGTTATCAGTTTCTATAGCTTTAGCATCATTTGCTTGCTTTAGCTTTCAAAATCTGCCCTTGTTTGTATTTGATAAACTTTTTCATCATATTTAATAACTATTTGATGTTTGTCAAGGGTCCAACTGGAAAGCCTGGATTGCCAGGAGTGCCTGGAGCTGATGGACCTCCGGTGAGTTAAAATTCAAATCTACAAAAACTGTTTAGTTGGTCGGTCGGTAGGTTGGTGGTTGGTTGGTCAGTGGGTGGTTGGTTGGTTGCTTTGATGTAAGGGTGGATGGATGGATTGGTTATGAAATAAACATGTAATTTAATACCATATAGCTGCATACACATTTTAGCAATAGAGTGTAAAATGCCTTAATGAATACTAGTATAAGGCATATGGATGATACAACATCTTCATTTGGCTCCATAACAGGAGATCAACACACACGCACACACACAGTATTATATATGCAAACAACCTCCTTTGCATCCCAGACAGACGTGACACCTGTGCTAATGACAGATGTTCTTTGGAAATCACCAGGTGGCTCCTTCTATAGAGGAGAGTGGGGCTTTAAGATCTAGTAACTCCAGGGGAAGAAAAAAAATAAAAAATGAAAAAATGGAGTAAGTATTGAAAGATGAGAAGGAGGTAGAGAAGAGCTTGCATAATCTAATACAACGCTCCAAAGCCCATTAATGGTTTATATTTCAGATTTGAAATAGCTTACAACCATCTATCCAGACTTTTTTTTTAAATTCATTTGCTGCCTATAACTTAAATTGCCACATTCTCGACCTTAGTGCTTCCTCTCTGCCACTAATTTCTTTCCTCTTTTGTATCCATTTCTGTCTCAATGCTAAAAACCCATCAGTGGGTTTGCAAAGCTCCTTTGTCCCACGAGAATCCAATCAATTTTCCTCCAGATGTCTTTTTACTGGACATCCATGTGTGAGTTCTGTGTGGAGTTGTTGCCATCTCGCCATTGTGTATTAGATCACATGCATGCAGCCTATGTGTATTTGTACCGTGAAGTCTCAAAGCGGCTTTGGTCTAGGCTTTTAGAGCCCAGTAATAGCTGTGAGTGCATCTGCAACACTGTGCATTAAGAATGGGAAACAAACTCCCAAAGGAGGCTGAACCTCTGAAAGGCCAACTTTTCCAGTTTCCTAGTTAGATTTGTCCTTCAGCAGTTTTACAGCCTAATCCTTCAGTTATAGGGATGTTGTGGTGTTTATGGTGGTATTTGTACTGAAATGTCATGCAGTAATATTCTTCTCAATGATTTACAGGGTCACCCTGGAAAAGAGGGTCCTACTGGGGAGAAAGGCCACATGGTGAGTTGGGCTCCTTTTTCTCTTTCTTATTTAAATTATTAGTTTGGGCAGTTTAGATATATTTTAATACATAAATGAAGATTATTCTCCACCTAAGTGATGAAGTCCTGCTCTCTTAATGAAATGTCCATGGGGAGCTGGCACACTTCATTCAAATTAGCTCCTCAGCCTTTTCTTGCTTTTACTGACCTTTCTGATTACCTCATTGGACACTTCTGCTTACCAAAGGGAAAGCTTCCACATGACTAAGTGTTATAAAGCAGGACAGAAGGACCCAGCATTCAAGGCGAGACATACAGTGGGATAATATGAAGCATTTTGTAAGAACGCGGCAGGCTTCAGATAGCAGTGGCTGCAGCTAGGACATCTATGACTGGAGTCTCTAGTTAAAGAAAAACACAGATTAGCGACCATGATAATCTGACGGAGAATGATTATCCATATGAGTCACTAATGAATCATGAATCTCCATAATACGAGATAGGATCCAGAGGGTGGGCTGCCAAGGAGATGTGGCGGGCGGGTACCGCCCGGAGTGTCCCAGATGCTTCAGCCTCGGAGAACAAGAAGGAGTTTGAGCCAGGTCAGGGAAACAGATCAGAACAGGAAGGCTCAGAGGTCCAGGAGTCTGGACCCCAGTCAGGGATACCGATCAAAGCAGGAACTGACTGGTTCAGGGTTTTCTTGGACTCCAGAGACAGTTCAGGCAGAACAGTCCAATGGGAATAGGCAGCCTCGGTGTTTGCAGAATAGGTGAGGACATCAGGAACTCTACAGGACGGTAAAATACGGCACTCTCTGCTGAAACCATTCAGGAACAGACGTGTTTAGTGGATGAGAGACAGATCAGGGTCAGGGAATCAGAAACACCACGGAATGCTTAAAAAACACTCTCCACTGCACCCTGAGAACAAGAACATGAACAAGAACATCAGCATCAATAATCTGGCCATGATGGCTGGGACTGAGCTGTAAAAATAGAAGCCGCAGCAGGTGGTTTAGATGAGCCATAATGAACAACCGGGCAATTAGACAGGTGAATGGAGTGAACAATTAGGCCAGCCATCAGAGCCAAGATCATGACACAAAGTGTTGTTAGGCTTGCTTGGTAGCATTGGCAAAGGTTTCTTGCCATGTTGGATGCTAATTCCATACCGACACTTTTCCAAATATTCTTTACCTACTTTTATTTCCACCTGTAAAATGTACCATTTGGTAAGAATTTATGTAATTTTTTCTATATATGTCTCTTTCCCCTGGCAGGCAATCTTTTCTATGCAATATCAGGAGAAATTATTATATGCATGCTCTGATCTGATGTACCTTCATTTAATATTAATTTATTAAAATTCTGAACAACCTTTTCCTATAGATCTGACTCCCAGCTGTGTTTTAAGAAATATTAGAGGAAAATATAGTGACTAGATTATAACAACTCTTTTGGCAACCTTTTGTATGGTGTGTTTACTGACCAGAAAAAAAGTTTAGACTTTTAATGTTTCAATGTAGCCTCTCACCAACAAGCTCAGTCAAGGCAAAAATTGGCCATTTCTTACTGTTTGAGTGTTTTCATTAGTATGATGCTAGTTTTAATCAAATCTTTCTCTCTTTAGGGCCCTGCCGGTCCTCAAGGCCCCATCGGTTATCCTGGGCCCCGAGGAGTTAAGGTAAGTTTATCTTTGTTTATAAAAAAGTACATTTTTACAGCAGAACTTTAGAGGTAATGGCTATTAAGGACACTTTTGTAAGCTACCAGATGCTATTTAGTGTTAACATATTTTCTTTTTAAATGTTTAAACCAATATTAACATGCTGCTTTAGAGAAGGGTACAAATCAAGTCCTTAATTATTGCCATAAAAGCACAGTAGTAGTGCCAGCTTATGGGCTTCATGAATCTTTTTAGATATATAGTGTTAATCCGAGGGTTTTTCATCCTCTTTATGTACCTTTTTTTACAATCTTTTGTTTTTGATGAGCAATATTCAGAACCACAACAAAACAAATACCATTAAATAGTTGCTGGTAATAGGAAGATCCAAATCTTACAGCTTTTACTGAGAAGGCTCAACTAGTTTTGCGTCTGTTCCAGATTTTTCTTTGTTAGATGGCTGAAATCTAAGAGGATGGACAAGGATTTGCTGACCAGCAAACTTTGAATCCTCTGCAGTAGTAAATTTCAAAACAGTTCTTTAGAAGCCTTACTTTAGATTAGAAAAAAGCTTTCACATCGTGAAGTTCTGTCACCTGAAAGAATGAATGCTCTGCTATTTCTCCGTATTGTCTCATTTACTTCTTGATTGCCTGATTTTGCATCGCAGGGAGCTGATGGCGTCCGTGGCCTCAAGGGAACTAAGGGTGAAAAGGTAAGGGAAAGCATCCAGGAGGAGAACTAAAGCTACATCAGTCATTCGACTTAACTGTAAAACTAACAGAGAGATGACAGTGATTGTGATTATACTGATGATGAGGGTTGATGGCCTCTGCTTGCCAATGATAATCTCAGGACACATAATTTTACTGCTACAGAGATTGGGGAAAAAGAGGGGTCTATCAAGGGTTTCTATGGCAACAAGGGCTCTTGTCTCATTGCTGCTCTATCAGACTTGACATCTCTGTGTGTATGTGCGGGTCCAATTCAGGGGGATGTTGACTTCCAAAATATTTCAGTGTTATTAGAGCCTTGTCTGTTGCACCTCTCATATTGTGTTTTTATGTTTCCTATCGTTAGGGGGAGGACGGCTTCCCTGGCTTCAAGGGAGATATGGGCATAAAAGGTGACAGGGTAAGGCTGACTTAAAAATTGAATTATGCACATTTAACTATTTAATGTTTTGACAATAAAAACACAAACTTTAATGTGTCTTATTCGTCTTCTATGTGATAAAACTAAATGTTGCACAATACTGAAATAGAAGAAAAAAAAAACAGATTTTTAAACCTCTTTAAACATGTAAATCTGCATTGAGCTTCCTCTATTCAGACACCCCTAAATTAAATAATCAGGGAGGTAGCCAAGAGTCAGATTGTAACTGGAAAATCTGCAGTTTAGAGGTTCCCAGGTTAGAGTTCAACTATAAAAGCCTCTACTGGGTCTGTAAAAGTGGACCGCTTCTATTCATACTATTTTTAGCTCGGTTGAATTTTACTTAAAGATGCCTAGTTTTGACTGCAACGTCTTTCGCTGCAGTAGGCTGTCATAGCTGCTAAGAAGAGAAGAAGTAGAAAAGAACTGAAGAGAAAAGAGTAAAGTCTATTCTGTCCAGGAAACAGACGCTGTACTGTGTCCTTGCAGTTCCTAGGAGATGAATTTTCCAAATTGGTACAACTTCTGACACTTTGTTTCCTGAACAAGTGTCAGTGTTGTTTTTCTTCTGTTCACTTTCATTGTTCATTTTCTTTTTGTGTGTTTGATGCAATCCCTTGAAGAGGAATGTTACTGTGACTGTCAGTATACAAAGTCAGAGCAGAAATCCGATGAGAAACTTAAGGACAACTGATGTCACAGGTTTTGTAGTCAAGCTGACAGCAGAGCAGACTGGAGCGTATTAAATTGGCTTCAGTTTAAGGTTAAAACTAAAGCTTTTGGCCCAGATATAAAATAATATTTGTGACAGAGCCTGTCAGATTTAAAAAATGTATGTGTATATATATATATATATATATATATATATATATATATATATATATATATATATATAGATAGATAGATATATATACACACAAATGTATGCAAATGTAACTTTGTCAAACAGGTTTTAGTTTTGCATTCTTAAAGTTAAGCTGTATTAACTATTGCTGCTCCATTATCCGCTTGTTTCATAAAGCTTTTTGTACTGGTGTGGAATTGCTAATAATGAGAAAACATGAGGTGATGCTGTTGACAGCTGTGATTGTGTTTCAGTTTTCAATACCTACTCTGTCTTCTAAGTCCTAACCATCCCCCCAGCCCCTTTGTTAGTGAAGAGCAAGTTTGACACTCTCAATCCGGAGCAGCTCCTTTCTCTGAAGTGCATTAGGGATTTACGCTGTCAGGTTGTAGGAAAATATGACTTCCACAGTGAGAAACATAACTCACAGCAGCCTGTACTTGAAACATTAAATCCCCTATCCCTGAACCGGGCTGTCTCTAGCTGAAAAACAAGGGAGAAATCAATGGCACTTTAAACACCACTTTAAGCCCACGAGAGACACGGGCCTTCCGCCATGTTTTCCTCTGGAGATGATGCCGATCCAGATGAAAGCAAAGATTTGAGGAGGCCCCTCTGCTCAGTAGATGCCTGCTTGGGCTAGGCTGTAAATGGCTCAGTTTAAAGCAGCCCCTTGAAAAGGGGTGTGTGTGTTTGCATGTGTTCGACAGTGCTCAGTTTAAAGTGTTCTTTTTGATGAGCTTCCGAGCGTAAGTCAAATACAATTTGCTTGATACCGACTTATGTGTACTTGAGGGTGGATGTCTTTGTGTGCAGTGGCTTGCTTTGTAACTCTGCACGGACCTTTAACTAGATAGCTTTTACACACCAATGGGCCTCTGCAGCAGCGCCGGGCTGTCAGAGCAAGTTTTTACTCTGTCATTTAGTGTGTGTGTCCTTTTAAAATAAGAACACACACTCAGAGAGAAGCAGTAATAAGATTGCTAACAAGTTTTCAACAGGAACAATTTCTAATGGGATTCTTTAAGCTACTTTTCCCTTCAGTTAAAAGGGCAAACCTGAACTACTCACAGAGACAACTGGCCTAAAAGTTCAATGGCTGTTCATACTTTTATTATACGTTTTTTGTAATGAAAGTTTTTGTTTTCTATTTGCTTATAGACTTAATATTTGTTATTACTTATACAGATGTTTAAAATCTACTGTAACAACATAAAACACCCATAAATAGGATTAAAAAATGATTGGCAGATGGACAGAGTCGCAGTATAATATTGCCCCAAAAAGTATTCAATCCCCATTAATTTTTTCTACTCCTTTTCACATTGCAAACGTAATTGTATTCAGTGAAAATTTTATTAGCTAGACCAACACAGAATTATACATTAATATGATATATATGTTAACACTTTTCTTTACAATGAAAAATCCTAAAAGTGTGACAGGTATTTATAACAAGCCCTCTTTACCCAGGTAAAGCCAAGTTAATAGCAGTGTAACCTAAAATAAGCAATATAAAACATCTTAGCACAAGTGTGCATGTGTAAGATTTTTTCTTATCTGTACTACTAAGACTACTAAGACTTCCATTTTTTTTTATTATGTTTTACATTCTTGGATTTATCTAAGTAAACTGTAGGTTTGCTTTTCTGTGTAAAGCGCCTCATTACCAAAACAATTCCTCATATGTTTAAATTATTACTTGACAATAAAGACAAGGTAAGTTTTGTTATATACTGAATTTCTATGAAGAGACAATTCAAAGTACTTAATATGAGAAAAAGTACTTTGCAGTGGCTTAAAGGCCACACAAATAATTCAAGAGAATAATAATGAATAATTAAAATATCACATAACAAAAAGATAAAATGATTGCTAAAAAGCTTTCAGTGAAAACTTAACTAGTTGTGTTCAGATACTACAGTCAAAGTTACTATCTCTACATATTTTTTTATCTCAATTTAAAGCATTTCTTATTCTGATATACAACACTAAACCTTTTGTTGAAAGAAAGCTATAAGTTCTTTAAAGTTTGCAATAAGACTACAGAAACACATTGCTTTGGTCTATCACATAAAATACTCTTAAAATATATAAAAAATTGTGTTTAGGGACAATATCTGTAGACCTCAAAGAAGTCTTCATAGAACAAGTCAAGAAATATAACATAAACAGGCTGAATCTCAGATACTGAGATGCTGAACCAATGAAGGATGAGAGTAAATGTGTTTGATATTTAGTATGTAGATAGATTATGGTTAAGCTTGCCTAATCCATTTCATTAATTAAATGTATTTTGGTGCTGTGCCATCCAGGGAGAACTTGGACCAGCTGGACCCAGAGGAGAAGACGGCCCTGAGGGGCCAAAGGGGCGCTCAGGGCTCCCTGGAGACGCTGGTCCGCTCGGCCCCACTGGTGAAAAGGTGAGACACTTTTTGCAATTTTTATCCATACGCTGTGAGCCACACTTATTCCTCATTGTCATTTACAAGACAGTAAAAAGAAAGGTATTTAATTTTTCATCCCCAGTATTGTTTGCTCTGGGATTAAGGTAGAGCAAGTTTTGAAAGGAAAATAGTCTTTTTTCCAATTACGCGGATCTGTACAGGGATCAGTTTGGCACTGCTGTGGCTCTTCAACCAGCTGAGAGCATTAAAGGATTCAGATACTGCATCAGTTAAACACTAAGCAGGATGGTGGCTGCTCATTGGATGTTTCACACATTGGCAATTATGCCAGACGACTAAATCATTTGTTACAGAACTGAATAGTTGATTCATTTCATTCTGATGCTCACTGGAGTGACATCATTGATAGATGTTAAGGAAGACTTGAATACCTGCATTTCATCATAATCCTTCTAAAATTATATTTCATAGTATATACTTTGATTAATGATAGTTTATAGTGCAGTAAATATTTGATTTTATCGGAATATAACATAATATGCAGTTTTTATAATAATGCAGTGGGAACAACAGCCTATAGTCACTTGCTGAAGGGTTTTGCATTCATTTCTATTGCCTGCAGCTTTTATTGCCCTTCAACCATGTCAGTCACAAAGGAGCTTAAAACAGCATAGCTCTACTGAGGAGAATAGCTTCAGCAGCAAATCACATTTTTATCTGAATGCTGCAGTTTATAGAGTCATGATGGAAATAAATGTTACAAAAGGTTGTGATTCCATCAGTCAGATGATATCACTGTTCAACTCTAGCCAACACTAGGGATTGTCAAACCTTATTCTAGCTCTGAGGTTATAATGTCTATTGAGCCCCAATAAGAAAAAAATGTTATCTAGAAGAAAACATATTAATCATGAATGTGACTGGTGTCAGTGTGTAAATATTTGTCAGTTTTTATGAAAGTACAGTATTACATTTGATGAGCTAATTAATACTTTAACAAAGGTGATTATTTATCCAAGTCCACATTATGTTGTTGTATTGTATGCCTTTTGATTCTAAAAAAAATATATATATGCTATTTGATGCCAGCTGATGTGAAACTTTAAAATTTAAATGGTTTCCATCAAGTAAAGATGGGCATCATTCCATATTAACACTCAGCAGCTTGTATGTGCTGTATATCATATTATATTTAATTACAATTATGGTTTACATTAGTTCTGAGCCCTAATCATTCAAAACCACGCTGTATTTGGCAGGTCTCCAATATAGAATAGAGTGGAACAGAATAGAATAGAATAGAATAAAATAAAATAGAATAGAAAATCCCTTTATTGTCCCACAATAGTGAAATTCTGGTGTTTTAGCAGCAACAATATTATAAAAAAAAAAGAAAAGTGTTAGAAAAGTGTATAAAAATAACATAATAGTGAAGAGTTAAAAATAAATAAACAAATAAAATACTGCACTGTAAAGTGTTTTAACAAAATATAATTATATATCATGTGCTAACAAGACTGAAGCAGTTTGCTGAAATGCAAGGGTAATGCTAGCATCTTCACTCTCTATATATTTGGTATATATTGTGTGGTTCAATTTAAATGTTTATGCCCAAAACTTTCAGAAAATGCTTATGAACTTGGCTACTGTTTCTGCTGCACTGTGCAAAGCTAACCTCCACACAGACAGCTGTATGTGAATCTTTAACACAGCTAACTAACCAGTTCAGGGGCATTAGATAAGAAACTTAGTTGGTATCAGGATTAAGCATCAGCTTAAGACATACTGGGTATGTCTTAAGCTGTTATATTTTGATCACCTATTATATTTATGTTAAGTTTAATTGTCAAATGGAAACTTTGAGGCTATCTTTTTGGCAAATTGAAGATCTATGCTGTAAATCTAAACAATGTTTTCTTTTAAACAGGGTAAACTTGGAGTTCCCGGATTACCAGGCTACCCAGGAAGACAAGGACCAAAGGCAAGTGCTCCACATATTATGAAGTAAATTTATCAAAATGATTCATAGTAATGCTACATTTAATGCTACATTTAGGTTTAAGGTAAGAATTTACCAATGTGTTTTTGAGGACTAAAAGGATTAGTGTAGATTAGGGCCTTTTACATCCAAAGTCCTGGAGCTCACCAGTAAAGAACAGTCATCTAAATAGTAGGAAAAAATTAAAATGAATGCAATAAGAGCTGATAAAAGAAGCATTTCATAGCTGTAATGCCAAGAAAAAAAATTATGTATTCATTCTTGAAGAGGGTATAGTTTTTTTTAAAGATAATCAAGTCTTACACATTGTTTATTTTCTTTTGATAGATGTCTGTATCCATCTAAAGATTATTCAAAAGCTAAATCTGTCCAGTGTATGTATAGTTTTGGCCTTTAATGTAGCTTTAAGAACAATGGCTCTACTTTTCTTGCCTGCAATGTCCTAATTGGATGCTTCTTTGCCTTAAAAAAAGAACATAAAAATGGGCAACGGATACTTTCAGGGTGAGTTTTTTTTAATTAGTTGGTTCAGCCTTTAAGCCCCTTTGTGACAAAGTCACAGTCTGAAAAGTGGATGTGCTTGAAGCTTTGTGATCAGAGAGATGGGGATTTGAATATGCTATTTCTGTCATCCCTCAGCAGCCTTTGCGATAACAATAAAGCACTGCAGCCTACTGTCCCACTAGGTATAATGGGCTGGGAGTATTCCTGGGAGGGAAATAAATAAGGGTGAAGTGTTTATCTTTTCTCTCTCAGGTTGCTAATTGCTCTCTTTCTGCCACACAGGGATCTCAGGGTTTCCAAGGCTTTCCCGGCGCCAACGGAGAGAAGGGCTCTCGGGTATGTCACATATCGCATTTCCTATTTACATTACTCATACAAAGAGTTGGACAGCAACCCGGATCGAGATTGATCTGTCCAGAGGAGGCTACAGTGACTCTGAAACAGATTTGGCCGAGCAGAGGAAGAAAGCACCTCTTACACAACTCATTTCATACTAGCAAAAACATTGTTTATCACTCGGTAGCGCTTTGAGCAATGTTTCATTCGCTCTGTGTGTAAGGGACGGGCCATTAGCTTGCCTCAAAGAGTAATAGTTTGTCATCGCGACTGGAGCAGGGCGCATAAAGCTTCTCATCTTTACAGGACGTTCGGGAAGTTTATGAGGTGGAGCTCCCAGATGAAAAGAAATAAGAAGGCCTTTTAAAAAGATTCACTGCTCTTAGTTGAAGGCTTAATACCACTCAGAATATGCACTTGTTTTCTCATTAAAGTTAAATGAACCCATTTTAATTTGTGCTGTGCCATATAACTGTGAAATTGTTAAATCAAAAAAAGTCCCATCTTTAGCACTAATGGTAGAAATGTTAGTGATTATAAGTATTAACAATGACATAGAAGTAGATCAGGCTTGATTGGATAGAAGCGCTGGCCTCAGTGCACTGTAATGGCCTAATTCTGTTGATCTCTGTCTGCAGATGTTATCCTCTTCTGGCCTTTAGATGAATTCATTTAGAACATGCTTTCCATCCCCTTTAATGATGTGAGCTGCCATTCCTTTGATCGCATTGTGTTCTTAACATCCACAGGGAACAGGAGGAAAGCCAGGCCCACGTGGACAGAGAGGACCAACGGTTAGTCTTACTCAGCACACTTCAGCTTATCTACAGATGGCAAACTTGGCACCTCAGTAAAGTAGGATGGCTCTTGATGTTGCTATTCTTAAGGGAAAGCCAAGCTGAGACATTAATTATATCTTAGCGTTTCCAGGTCATCAGTATCTCTCATTGAGTGCTCTCCGTGATTCTAATCACGTCTTTGTTTTCATCAGGGGCCGAGAGGAGAGAGAGGCCCGAGAGGACCCACGGGGAAAGCTGGACCAAAAGTCTGCGAAATATTTCACTCTCATCTTATGTATTTTTTGTTTGTGCTTTCATCTTCTAACCCCTTTGCTTTGTTTTATTTTTCAGGGTAACTCAGGAAATGATGGCCCACCAGGACCCCCTGGAGAGAGGGTATGTTGCATCATTCCCGTATCAAAAGTCAGGTTGTTTAAACGGAATCTTAAGATCTCTAAGAGATTAATGACTGAGTGCCAACTTTTCTTTCTTTCTCAGGGTTTGCCAGGGCCTCAGGGACCAACAGGTTTTCCAGGACCAAAAGGCCCTCCTGTAAGTCAGAATATCTTTAGAAACCCATCTTGCTCTTGTAAGCTTGCTTTATAAGTTTCAGTTTTACTCTATATTTGAGAATTTGTGCGACTTTTTCAGGGACCTCCAGGGAAAGATGGACTGCCTGGACATCCTGGACAGAGAGGAGAAACTGTAAGTAAATCAGTTTGATTGTTCATCTCTTCTGTAGTCGAGAGGCTGTTTGGTGACTAAGTTTTTGTTTCTTCTTCCATATGCAGGGTTTCCAAGGCAAAACTGGCCCTCCTGGTCCTCCAGGTGTGGTTGGACCTCAGGTAAGATCCTAATTTTTTGTCTTTAATACCGATTTTATTGTTTGTTACATTTGCCCCAAAAACTGTGCACAAGTGTGCGATTTGCCCTCACTTGCTTAGAAATTACACCCTTGTTAGTATACTGTCAGGTACTGGCATAAAAGCAAGGAATATGAAAGGAACAGCGGAGAACACTTTCAGTTGTTCCAGTAACTATGATTTATTGTTGTGAGAGCTGAACTTTAGGTGCTGTTTGTTTTTCTATATTAGCCTTGGGATCCTCATCCATTATGCATGAATGTTTAGAAGACTTTAAGCATTTCTGCTAATACCAGCTTAGAACATTCATGATGATGTAGGAACACTGATTCTTTACGGAATAGTAATCTATAGCGTTTTGCTTTTAATCTCTTGATTGACCAAGCTAAACATGACCTACATGTTCATCTAGACTATTTTGGGGCTATAAATACCCATATGTAAAACGCAGAAATGCCCTATATTATCTTTTTTATCGTGACCTTATTTTAGTTGACATGTTTCGCTTTTGTTTACCATGGATATCTCTTAAGCTCTTTTTAAAAATTGTCTATAGGGACCAACAGGTGAAACCGGGCCTAGGGGAGATCGGGGTCATCCAGGTCCTCCAGGACCACCTGGTGAGCACGGTCTACCTGGAGCTGCTGGAAAAGAGGGGGCTAAGGTAAAACTTTGTGGTCTAAGTCAATGGTCACATTTCTCACATCTATACACCATTTCATTAAACTATTATTCATTCAAACTAATGTCACTCTATTTTCACCTGTAGGGTGACCCTGGTCCTGCGGGCCCAACTGGTAAGGACGGTCCTCCTGGGCAAAGAGGTTTCCCTGGAGAGAGAGGTCTGCCAGGCCCTGTGGTAAATTATCTAGTTTTGTCTCTCTATTTAAATATGCCTTCCTACATAATCGATATTCTTCCTCCATTGTTATTTCATCATAACGTCTGACTGCAAGCTTCAAGCTATTAAAATGCTGTAGCAATTTGTCAAAATAAAACAAACAAATAAAAAAACAAAAGCAGACTGAGTTCTGACTTTCAAATAGGAATAGGTTGTTTATTTTATATCATATTTCCATTCTAATGTTATGATGAAGTCAAATATATTTTCTTATTGCAAACATGATACCTAGAAATCATCTGTAGAAGCAATTCAGTCTCTAACATCAGACATTCTAAGTTATGCAGCACACTACCTCTCTCTGTAATGATGGAGCAGATTCGCTGCTGTATTGGTAAAGAACTGTTTTTCTCCATCTGCTCAGCTGCTGCTTGGGAGACTGCAGGAGGTTTTCTACCTCATGCTGTGCCTGTTTAGAGATAGGGAGTTTATGAGACAGGATGCTTCCTCGACAGATGTGTTTCTTTTCTCAATCCTTTGTTTAATTTTACTTTGCAGGGGGCTCATGGTCTGAAAGGGAATGAGGGTCCCCAAGGCCCACCAGGCCCTGCTGTGAGTACAATTCATTTCCTAACCCTTCTTTAATCCCTGCCAGAAAGTAGCCATTTATGCTAAACTAGCTTTACTGAAAATTCCCCTTAAAAATGAAATAATGGTATGTAAAATCTACGACTTCTTTTCACAATCTGGCTTATGGGACTGAAATGTTAGTCTTTTTGGTTGGTTATTTTTTAAGTATTACTTTGATGACTAATATTAATATATTGCAATTTAAGGGTTCTCCTGGTGAGCGGGGTCCCGCTGGCCCGGCTGGACCTACAGGTCCGCCTGGGCGTTCTGGCCCACAAGGACCCCCAGGCCCTGCTGGAGAAAAAGGTGGACCGGTAAGAAGCCCTTTCAACCAATATGCTGTGAAAAGTGTTGCTTTGCCTTTTTTCGCTGACTGTGTGATGTCACAATTTTAGGGAGAAAAAGGACCTCAGGGACCAGCTGGAAGAGATGGTATTCAAGGACCTGTGGGTCTACCAGGACCTGGAGGACCCCCAGGACCCCCCGGAGAGGATGGAGATAAGGTCAGTTCCTTTACATGGCCTGATTCCCTGTCTATCTAAGGGAAAATGGAATGTGGCAAAGTACAGTTTTCGTTAAAGTCTGTGTAACTTTTAAGTGTTAATTGAATGTTTAGGAACCATATAAAAAGCAAGAACACAAATTTTCCATTTTTACTTGTGTGAACACTTTTCTTATGCGATAGAACCTACTGTCTAAGAGTTATTTCTAAGATTTTTTTTTTCATAAACAAGTTTCAAACAGATTTTCTTCTTCTGGTGCTCACAGTAGGAAATTATACATTTCACCGACACATTTCAATCACTGAAACGGTGATTTGACAGGGCTGAGGTGAAGAACATTCTAGGTACTTGTTGTTCTTCACCTTTATCCATTTGAGCCGACATATTAAACCTTCATCCAAGTTTCAGTCATCTAGGTGTTTGTTTGGTGAAAAGGTTAGAGATAGCACTTCCCTTTTCATTACTGTCACCCTAATGCTGCTCATACTATTGGCAGTTAGACAGATAAACAGCAGGTCACATGTTCTGAGGTTTAAATGTATCGCCTTGACGCCTCATTAGCTTTATCCTTTATCCCTAATGTCATATAATTTGTATGACAGAAGAAATTATCCTAAAAGGCTTTGATTTGTCCTTTTAAGAGGTTGCTCTTTTTATTTGAGCTTCAAAGTGTCCTTTTATAGAGGAGTTGCTCCTTTCTTGGTCAGTAGCCTCTCAGTCTCACAGTGATGTAGAACTGGCTTCACTGTGGACAGTGAGACTAGTTTAAACCACAGTGGCTCCTGATTGATTTCTTGTCATCTTGAGTGGAACAATTTGTGCCAGACAGTTGAAACTCAGACGCAGTTGAGTGTTTCAGGGGGAAAAAGATCCCAAACAATTTCACCTTCCAATCCCCGATTTCCTTGGTAATTCTTTAAAGTTGTCTTATGTAATTATTATTACAAATATTCATGCATTAAAAAAAAATAAGACTTCCTATTCATTCCATTAGCATGTGTGTATCCCCTTACTCTAAAACACCAAAGCTGAGATATAAACCATATATCTTCTCACCCTATTCACTCTGACCTATACTCTCAAAGAGAAATTTGTGTTACAGCGTTTGCATTGATTTGCAGATCTTTAATAGTCTAGCCATCCGTGTTACTACTTTGTGCAAACAGAGAGGAGATCGGAGCTGAATTTAGAAGTAGGGACTCAATGTGCTGCTGTCACGCTTTAGCATTCAGAGGTAAGAGCAACTCCTTATCCTCTCTAAAAACATTTTCAGTAAGATCAACATAAGGAAAGTCAAAGGATAATCTCTCCCTTTTGAAAAGCGGCTCAGTTCTAACCTGGCCCTACATTGGTCCCTGCAGGGAAGATGGACAAAGGCAATACTGGGGGTATTTGCTGTGTGGATTTAAGGGATATTTCTACCTAAAGTTTACACAAAATAATACACTCAATGTTCAACACTGTGAGGTGGGAATGAACCACTTTAAACACTGTTTCAGTACATGCATTGTCCTGCTCAACTCACAATGATTTTAGGAATATTTACCCAATACACAAAAGCTTTGATAGTAAGGTTAAAAGGGCTTTATTTTGCATGTTTAGTGCTTTTTCTAATGGATCCAATTATCTTGTTTTCCTTTGGCTGATAGTATTCAAGTGACTCATGATAAGTCCCCCTTCAGATGTAAATTATAATTTTGAGAAAAGGGAAGTGAGGAGCTGAAAAATAATTTATCCATGGCTAACAATTAGTTTTAAAAACATTTCACATCAGCTTGTTTATGAATCTCTATCCTGACAACACAGTGACACTTTGATTGCTTACTTAAAGTTTATTTTAGGAACCAATAGTGCTCCATTATTGACAATAAGGTTGTATTTACATGCATTAACAGGTAGGTGAACGTTGGAGCTTTGTATGCAATAGAGCATAGAATAGGATCAACACAGCCTCATCTGGAAAACTTTTTATATTTTCTACCTTTCAGTCAATATGAAGTGACAATTTTAATCAAGGAGTCAGCTGTCTACAGGCCTCTCGCATGTAGACAGCTGAAGATAGGCACCAGCACCCCTTGCGACCCCACTTGGGACTTAGCGTGTTAGAAAATGGATGGATCTACAGTATTACTAATCTATTATTATTATTGTTGTTGTTTTTCTAGTTGTGAACAGTTCTGGAAATGATTTGGTGATGAACAATTAAGCCCCTGTAATCCACAATACTTCTACTACAACTTTTCTACTACAATTTTTTTCCCATTCACAGATGTGCACAAATCCTCAGAATTACTTAAAGATTGTTGCAAAAAATTGTTAAAAGAGTGGGGTGAAGTAAATTTATTATAACAAATCGAAATCCAGGAAACAGAGCAGGTCATTTTTTATCTGATAATCGTTTTCTGAGGTTATTTCTCCTTATATTGTGGATCATATCCACAATTTTAGAAGAAAAACTAAAAGAAAAATGGAATGAATATTGTTTGGGCATTTAGAATAGAACCCAGAATTAAAGATTCTTTCTACGTATCAGTGGACAGGAGGTTCGGTTTCCCACCAGAGCTCAGGATGTTATTACTACAGTAAAAGCACATGCTTTTGTTAGGGGTCTGTACTAATCGTTAGCAAGGGTGCAAAAAAATGTGCCCAGTTCTGTATTTGCTGAGTCATATTAGGAAAGAAAATGCAAAAATTGATAGAAATAGCTAGAAATTTGATTACCAGCTCTGTGGGTTTATTTGTCATGCTGGAAAAGTCAAAACATATTGACACTGGAGCAGACATGGGCAATGTGGAGTCAACAAGTCATCTCCATGTCATGTATTTGTTCTACCCAGTCACTGAAGCAGGTGAGTCCAATCTTCACCGTGAATTAACCTGTGCAGATTGGACTCACCTGGTTATTTGGCTGGGTAGATTAAATACATGACATGGAGATGACTTGTTGACTCCACATTGCCCATGTCTGCACTGGAGCCATGTCTTTAAATTATTTTCTACTGTTTGATTTTGCTATCAGTACTGACAATAAGCTGGTAATTTGTGTTTGTAGCAGTTTATCTCTCTCACATAGGTTTTCTATCAGTGCTGATTTGATTTTAAGGTACTCGCTTAAATAAATCATAACCTTGGTGTTTAACTTCAGATAATAACCAATGATATTCTGAAGCTCCATTGCAAACAAAATTTTCTTCTGTTTTGTCTTGTTGCAATTATTAGAAGTCTAGCCTTTGTTTTCCTTTGTTGTGGCAAGATTATCATCAGTAGGGGGGTCCTGCGTCTCCTGTTTGATCATAGTTTGTCCCTATTTTTTTAACATTCCCCGTTCCTTAAGATCAGTTTTCTGTAGGGGGAGGCAGACTCAGATGTCCACTGTTGAATAAAGACATGCATACTTAGTGATTCACTCTACAAATGACTCCCTTTTCACTTGCGATCATGAAAAATCACCAGTGTTATTAAAAAAGTAATACTTACACTAACAGGCCATCTTTTATAACACCCTCATAGAAACAGACTGGGCCTCCAAAACTGATTTATATCTTCTTGCATAAATTCAAAAATGCATGTAAACCATGCTTCACAGGTTTTGGGCCATCCATACACGATAGCATCACATAGCAGATTTCTGGGCTGCACATCCATGCTAGAAAACATTCAAATGGATCTCTATAACCAATCTAGCGGCTGTGGAGGCCAATGAAAACTAATTGTGATATTCAAGAGACTAGCTGTGGGAATGGGAGTAGCCACCGAATGAATGGTCATAAAAATATTGAAATGGTCTCCATGCACAACTGAACTACTTCCTGAACTTAAGGCAGCTCTTTTTGTTTTCTGTCTTTTTCTACTGGATGAACTGATTAATCCTGGTGTGCCTGAGTTCATTAACCATGGTCAGACACTCACTTGATATATTTTTCCTAATATCTGACAGTCCCACTTGGGATAAGGGTGACGGAAAATGGATGGATGGATATCTGACAGTCCAAATGAATGAAGAGTTTCTTAAATCCTAAAACCAACCAAGATAGTACAAACAACCATGTAAAATTAAAAATTATTTTCTTTCGCTTTTTAAATGCTTAATTTGAACTCCATCAAGCACATGAAGCTGCTGCCTTGTGATCAACTAATTTTCTACTTGGGTTAACAGGGCGATGCACAGGTGTACCTAATACAGAATCTATCCTCTTACACTAGTTTACATGATTTTTTTTTTGGACTTTGCACTTTTTTACTTATTTTTTTTAAGATACTTTAGAAATTATACAAACAAAAAAATTAGACAATAACTGTTTAAAACATTGATACTGGTAAACAGGTCATTAGTCTCAGAAACCTCATTAAACTTGATTAATGTTAAACTATTAAGCAACCTAAAATCAGTTACTTTATTGGCTAAATGTTTTAGCAGAATTGAACTTGAAAAAACTCAAATTACCCTAAGCTGTAAGAAAAATTTAGAAAAATGTTATCGTTATTTATAAAAAAGGGTTAGGGTTATAAAATACATTTTAATATTCAGTTCTGCCTGGGAAAGATGAATTGCACAACAGCTTCTTTGCCATTACACATCCTAGTGACCAGATGTCCATAGCTGCAGAACATGGGAGCCCTGATATGAGTTTAGGAAATCTTAAATGAGGAAATAAACAGTATGTGACATTACTGCATTACTCAATAACCCCTATTTCCTCATATTGCAGAGTACTTTGACATGTCTTACTTGTGAGAAAGACATGGATGGCTAGTATGATTAGCCAGGAAGGTAAAGACAGCCAAGTCAAAGTCAATTAGCTTAACCTTCAATGGGTTTCTATTGCGATCCACTACCATGATGTTGTTTGTATTCAGGTCACTGTGGATGATGCCAAATTTCCTCATTGTGTCCAAAACTATTTTTCATCTTTCCATCCTACTTTTAAAATTTGTGACATTTCTGTAACTATTTGGATTCAAATATTTTACAATACTTTCAGCTTCTTTTTTGGAAACATTTGTTTTTTTGCCACACAGTAAAATGTATCCAAAGATTTATTTTTTTTATTCATCTTTTAATTATTCAGTCCCAGTTTCTCTTACATAAATTTCAATCTTTAAAGAAAATGGCAAAATGTAGTAGGTTTTAAATTAGCTTTAACAACTATGTCATAGTCCTGAATAAAATATTGTATTTTTTATATCCGGTGTGATTTAATGTGCATCACTGCATTAAAAATGGTTCTCTTTTTACAGGGAGAACTTGGAGAACCTGGACAGAAAGGAAGTAAAGGAGATAAAGGAGAACATGTAAGTTTGTTGCATGCATATAATATATTATTTCTGAAACTTTTTGTATCATGTATGTTATTTTGTGGTGAATACCAAGATTTTATATAATAAAGAAAATAGCTCAAGGGTTCTAATGATGTGCTTCTTTCCAGGGTCCTCCAGGTCCTACAGGCCCTCAGGGCCCTGTCGGTGCACCAGGTCCTGCTGTAAGTGTCCACTTTGTATATGTAGTTTTTGGTCTAACAACTCTATATATTGATCCACTTCATAACCTCTTGGGTTTTGCAGGGTGCTGATGGAGAGCCAGGTCCAAGAGGTCCACAGGGCATGTTTGGCCAAAAAGGAGATGAGGGATCAAGAGGTTTCCCAGGACCACCAGGCCCAGTCGGGCTGCAGGTGTGTACCAAAAAATGAGAGGAAGATTTTTGTCTTGATTTAGACTAGAACAGCAAAATCTAATCATTTTCCAATTTTCCAGGGTTTGCCTGGTCCACCTGGTGAGAAAGGTGAAACTGGAGACGTCGGTCAAATGGTGAGACGGTGTTTTCCAATACTGAATCTGATTGTATTGCAAGCAGCATCTAGATCAAATGCATTAGTAGCACAAAATTACCTTTGTTGTCTATTATAGGGCCCACCTGGTCCTCCTGGTCCCAGAGGTCCCTCTGGTCCCCCAGGAGCTGACGGTTCTCAGGGGCCCCCTGGTGGTGTTGGAAACCCTGGTGCTGTTGGTGAAAAGGTAAAACTTTCCATTAAGTTTTTTTTTATTCAAATGATAATAAACACCTAAAAAAATCTAGAGCTCCCATATTATTATCCCTAGTGCTCTGCAAAATCATTTCAGCTGTGTCTTATCTGATTTACAGTGACTGATGTATCTTAGAAGACTTAGAAATATGATTCAGATTTAGTTATTTTTGAATTTCCTCTTCGTGGTTTTAAACTATATGACTGAAAAGGTAAGATTAAGATGAAGCAACTTTTTTTTCCCTTTTAGACAGTGGTGCAACAGATGAACTGAATCAAACCAACATAGCTGTAAAGGAATATGTCAATAAAATTGAGCAATTATTTAACTTATTTTCAGTTTGGCAGTACTGTAAACCTCTTCAAGGACAGTGAAAGACTTGATCTGACTGAAGGGATGGATCGGATCAGGATGAAAAGTTAGCGTTAGTTTGTTCCCTCATTTTTTTTTTTAACGTTTTTCTTGCTCATCTTTTTCCTACATGCATTTATAAAAAAAAAAAAAAAAAACTACTTTCAGTTAAAATTTGGGTTTAACAATTAATTATGACGAAATCTGGATCAGTAGACATCGCTGTTCTCAGCTCAACACCTGATCAAACAATAGATATTATAATACTAATGAGGCATTTCATAAAGCCCATTTTCTTAAAAATACCCCTTAACATTGGCTTTGGGTTTGTTAAAGCTAAAACATTCCTATTTATCTCTGTAAAATAGGGTGGACCTTTTGTACTATCATAGAGCGACAGAATAACACCAAACCCAATGGAGGAGAACGCTACAAATTAAAGCACATGAATACTTTATTAAAACCCTCTTTGTGATAGAGTTCTTATTTTCTACTGGTATTTTATGTAAATAATGTTTGCTTTTGCAGCTGATGAGCTGCTGAGCATTCTGTACACTGCAAAAAATATAAATCTCAATAAGTTATTTTTTCTTAAAATAAGTGTGTTTTTCCTTGATTTGAGGAGGTAAGTAAGACACTTTGCCAATGGAACAAGACAATTTCCTTTTAAAATAAGAAAAAACTATTTTATCGTCTTATTTCAAGTAAATATTATCTAACTATCTTATTTTAAGAGTGAAAATACTCATTCCATTGGCAAATCATCTTATTTACCTGCTCAAATTAAGGCTAAATATACTTAATTTAAGCCATTTTTTACTTATTTCTGGATTGTTTTTGCAGTGTAGTGATGATGTGATTTGTTTTATCATCTTCAGTCAATACAATCACCTTTTGCTGCTTCATAATTCCTGCCCAACCCACACACTGCTTCTCTTTGCTAATCGCCCTTCAGCTGAGATGGCATTTTATTGGCTGTTGCAGTGGGTTGGCAAGCAACAAAACTCAGGCTCCTGTAAACACATCCCTCTTGTATCTGAGATGAGCAGCTGTCTTGGTATTTTTCAGTTGTCAGCAGATTTATCCAGGAGACGCATTCAAGAACGTAAGCAGGCTTACATAGTCCAAGATGCAGAATTGCATTATTTAAAGCATGTGTTGCTAAAACTTTAAGGTTCGGTTATGCTTTTTTTGGAAGGCAAAAACAATGAGCCGTCTATGCTTGAGGGAGTCAGGATGTGCTGATGGCAACACATCACCGCACAGCCCCAATCATGCCTCTGCAGAACTCTTCTATCAATTTGCTTTTCTCCTTCCAAACATGACATGGGAGAATATTTTCTCACAAAGCAAAGCAAGTGCAACAGACTTTATCTTTTAAACCCCAGCTGACATTGACAGTGAATAACGACATTGTCGAGCATAGAGGTGAGTCAGGAGGGCAACTATTCAGTAGGGGGGATAGGAAAAAGGTAAGATATATGGGCAGGGTCCAGGGAGAACAGTGAGGTCAGCACACTCTTTGCCCTAGCCACCCAATCTGCTCGCACTTGATGGATTGAAATCTCTTGTGTCACGTCTTTTTTTCCCATTCAGGTGACAAGGGCAATGGGACGGTCACGGTTGCTGCAAATGATGGGATATGTTGAACAGGAATGGACGCCTTCTGATTATGTTTCTCACAATCTTTAATAACACTCCTCCCCAATGTCTTCTCTTAGGGAGATGCTGGTGAGACAGGAGAGCCTGGACTTCAGGGAGAAGTTGGTCCACCAGTGAGTAAACAATCTGTCTTCTGATTTATATGAGTGGTTTAAGCTAACAAGTTCTAAGCCTGTGACAAGCTTAGAATTAAAATTATAGCTTCATGAAACATTATAGCTTCATAAAATAGTAGGCTTTTGCTTCTTTGCAGCCCCCTTTCGTTGTTGTTCATCTGCTTAATGTTTTTGATATTATCTTAGGGTCCAAGGGGAGAGCGTGGAGAAAAGGGAGAGGCTGGACCTGCTGGTGCTGCAGGACCTCCTGGCCCTAAAGGTCCACCTGGAGATGACGGCCCTAAGGGCAGCCCTGTAGGTTATAATCTCCATCCATCCATCCATCCATCCATCCATCCATCCATCCATCCATCCATCCATCCATCCATCCATCCATCCATCCATCCATCCATCCATCAGACTGATAATGCATTTTCTTTTCTTTTTTTCTCAAATTTTCAGGGTCCAAGCGGCTTCCCTGGAGACCCTGGCCCCCCTGGAGAGCCCGGTCCAGCTGTAAATATCCACATGCCTGATCACAACTAAGCTCAGGTGTTTTCATTGTTTAAAGGATACGTGTTTTTGACTGAGGTTCTTTTTGTTTGTAATTTAGGGTTTAGATGGCCCACCTGGTGATAAGGGAGACGATGGAGAGGCTGGTCAGGCTGTGAGTGGTTTGGCTTCTTGTTAGAGGTATTAAAACTATGCTTTTTCATCATTTTCATTTCGTTGTTAATGGTTGTTCTTCCTTTTTAAATTAGGGTTCACCTGGACCCACTGGAGAGTCCGGTCCTTCTGGACCACCCGGAAAGAGAGTAAGTATCATCTGGTATCTTTCCATCTAATATAAGAGAAACGGCTTTCAGATTCTAGACTATAATGTTCTATCTTGGTATTGTACTTTGATCATCTTTTTCAATTCATCATCTAAATAGGGGCCTCCTGGAGCTCCAGGGCCTGAGGGAAGACAAGGCGAAAAAGGAGCAAAGGTAACTAACTGTCTGTATAAAAAGCTAATTTTTTGTGTGTGTGAAAAACCAACTGCAGTTGGTAGGAATAAAACCAATTTGTTTTAACCTCAAAAGGGAGAGCCGGGCATTGAAGGTCCCCAAGGAAAAACAGGACCTGTGGGGCCTCAAGGATCACCTGGAAAGCCTGGTTCTGAAGGTCTCAGGGGTATTCCTGGTGCAGTTGTAAGTACACCTTTTATAGTATTGAAAATATGTAAAAAAAAAAAATTTTCTGGCTAAAAGCAAAAGATTCACACCATATTTATGCTTAAATATTCTTAATGACTGATATTTGTTTAAAGGGGGAGCAAGGACTACCTGGTCCTACAGGCCCAGATGGACCACCTGGACCTATGGTAAGTAAAAGGAGCAGCTTTGCTATTTGCTTTCAAATATGCTGAATGGAGTGATCTAAAGGAGTTTTGTTCCTCCCACAGGGCCCTCCTGGTTTACCTGGTTTGAAAGGAGACAGTGGTGTTAAAGGAGAGAAAGTAAATACTTCCAGTACCATTAAAGTCACCTAAATAATTTAGAGAACAGGCATAACATTAAAACTAATGACCTTGTTCAATAACTGATGAGTTTCATTAGTCTTTGGTTGTCAATTTAACATTCTTTGTAGTCACTTTGCCTGCAAGATAAATTCTCATGCACGAACACATGAGAATCAATCTTGTACGATTGTGGCTCACATTGTTCCAGACCAATAGTTTTTTAATTAATGTGTTATTGACAAGCTGCTCTCTGTCCCCAGGGTCATCCAGGTCTCATTGGTCTGATTGGAGCTCCAGGCGAACAAGGAGAAAAGGGTGACAGAGGTCTGCCTGGCCCTCCAGGAACTCCTGGTCCCAAAGGAGATAATGTGAGCAATACAGCCAAGAGGGGATCAACACTACTTGAACCATTAAATCTATCCCTAAGAGATTTGAACCAACTTAGCAGCCAGATGTTCATATCTGAAGCTTGGCAATTGACATATTTTCCTTTGTCCATTAGGGTATTGCTGGTCCTACAGGTCCTCTTGGTCCAGTTGGACCTCCCGGCTTACCTGTAAGTCTATCTTCTTTACATTAGTCTATTAAAAACTACTGTCCTGTCTTGGCTGGTATTGATTTCCGGATATTCTTTGTGTTTTTAGGGTCCTCCAGGTCCCAAAGGAGCCAAAGGATCATCTGTGAGTGATTAAGAATCAGGATTAGACTGGAAACAATAAAAAGTATACACCAAGGATGATCATTGTTTTTATTTTTTTTTGTCTTAGGGCCAAACAGGTCCAAAAGGAGAAACTGGAACCCCGGGTCCTCCTGGCCCTCCTGTGAGTAAATACACTAAGATCATCAGTTCTTGTCAGTGTTTACAGCTACCTTCTTAGTGTTTCAACAGCTTGTCCATCTGTCTACAACAGGGTCCTCCTGGTGACGTCATCCACCCACTCCCCATTCAAACTTCCATGAAGGGGAGAACACGTAGGAACATCGACGCTAGCCAGATGATGGACGACGCCGCCATGGACGCCAACTACAAAGACTACGATGATGGCATGGAGGAGATCTTTGGGTCACTGAACTCTCTGAAGTTGGAGATCGAGCAGATGAAGCATCCGCTGGGCACACAGAACAACCCAGCTCGTACCTGCAAGGACCTCCAGCTGTGCCACCCTGATTTCCCTGATGGTTTGTCTCATCTTCTGTATTTATTCACAAAGCCCTTCTGCTCCTGCCATTTTTATATCCTGCTTCCGGCATAAATAAATGGGGTATTGAGCTCTGTTACTGATAGCGAAATCTGAAAACTTGCCATATGTGGCGTTTCAATTTTCGCTTCCCTTTAGTAAGTCATGCCCAAAACAGTTTTTGAAGGCATTGAAATTGATTTTAAATTAACGTGTTCTTTTCCAGCCCCCGTGTAGATCTTAATTATAAGCCGAGAAGGATATTCCTTCATCTAAATTAGGTGTAAAAGATCTAAAACATGCTCACTATTCTCAACAGACCTGATGTAGACATGACTTGTTAGGGTCCTAGATTTCTGATGGCGGCAGCCTATGTTAAACACTTACACCCAATATTTGAGTCTCTCAATCATCTATTTTAACAGGAAGGTAAATATAAATGCAAAAACCTCTGTTCATGCTAATCCCCTAGTATAAAACAAAAAATAAATGGAAACAATTTCCCTTTATTATTACTCAAATATATCATAACATTGGATTATTAGAATGAACAGAACTTTTAACTTCATTGCTTTTATTTAATGGGGTATAAATGTTTAAAATAGTAAAAATAGGTACCAAAATCTCCATTAGTGGCACCTCTGACAGTTTCTAAAATACAGATCATCTAGTAATAAGCCATTTTGTAATAAGGTTTTGGTTTTTATTATTCAAGTGTCCACTAACTATTAGAAAATATTTTTTATTCATTATCCTAATTGGGATAAAAATAATTGCTGTGGTCAGACTTGGGTTTAAATTGATCATTATTAATTGTATCTCCTATTTGGTGCAAGCTCTTAAAAATATGGTTAGAATCAGTACTTCTGGTATTTAAGGCAACATGTTCTACATTTGGTTCCATGAGACTATCAATCTATCAATTAATTTTGGTATTTCTGAAGTAAAAAACAAATTTCTTATTTGGTATAATATTGCATCTGCCAGTAATGATTGGCCTGCAGGATTAACTTTTTCTACCGTCAATACCCACAACAGCAATCTGTATTTGCCAAGATGCTTACGTTGAGTTTTTGTGGTACTTTGATAAAGGAAGTAACCAATGAATGTGGATTAAGCATCACTGGTAGCCCAATGTAGTATTTCCATATAGCATTACAGAAACATCTGCTTTTCAGATATCATGAAAACCTAAATGCTGTTATTGTGTTTAGCAGTGGAATGGCACTATTTTGCATAACTTGTGTCAAGGCTAAGTCCTTCTCTCTACCCAAGCATTGATCAATTTTATGACTAAAGAAGTGTGTGTGTCTGTTGCTTACCTTACAGTTTGGCAGATACCTTGGAAAAAAGACAGTGTTAGATTTTTTTAAAATCATCTTTTTGTAACTTTTTAAGTCTTTGTTGTTGAATAAATACCATAAGATATTCTGATTAGATTTCAATTCTGCAGTACCTCTCCCTAGTGTCATGATCTTTTAATCGATAATCAATGACTCCCTGTGTCCCAGGCGTATAAAGTGGCCAGTTTCAATCTCTTGAAAAAAGGAAAGAGAAGTGATTATGCAATTTTAGTAAAGCATGGGTACATCCATTTTTTATAAGTCAGGAAATTGCAAGATGGAATGGCAAATTGAAGGTTCTGCAATAGTTACTAATGATCTTTGAGTATTCAGACTTGGTCCAATTTATCATTGTACCCAAAGCTTCATTTAAGCCAAAGGGATTATAAACAAAACTCTCTAGTTTTATTTTCACCTTCACTTCTCATTAGGGATTTATTGTGTAAAAATACAGATATACTTGATATCAAGATGTGATTCACAGATATACCATATACTTACTAAAAACTGAATAAAAAATGGCAGGTATCACATACTTTACACCTTCTACTAAATGCTTTGCTTGTCCTCTAATTGTCTTCCACTGTTCTTTGTGTCGGCAGGTGAATACTGGATTGATCCGAACCAGGGCTGCTCACGGGACTCCTTCAAGGTCTACTGCAACTTCACAGCGGGTGGAGAGAGTTGTATTTTCCCGGATAAAAAGTCTGAAGGGGTACGTCTGGCTGCGTGCACGCAAGGAACTGATACACAGGAGAAAATGCAGCACGCACAGAGGTTAAAGAAGAAAACATTCAGTTTGCGATCAGGATTCAGAGCGAAATAATGTTTGCAGAGCTCCGCAGATAAGGAAAAATGGTTAAATTTCCCCTTACATGCTGTGCATATGTTATAAATATCCTAAACACCTCGAGAATTCCAACTGGTGTAGCCGTATAATTAGCCTCTGTTCAATTGCCTACTGTGATGTGCCTAGAAGAGGTGGGGAATGAATCATCAGTTAGATTTTACAAACACCAGACAACATTCTCACCAACTTACCCAAAGTATTTGTATTTATATGAGTGCTACTTTGACATGGAGCAGAGAGAACTGCTTCATATGAAAGCAGAGGCAGGTGACAGACACAGCGAGAACACTTTCTGCTTCATTATGCATGAGTGTGTGGAAGAGAGGAGTGAAGCAGAGTGGAGGAACACTGCCTCTGACAACTTGAGGGTTGTGTAGTAGCACAAGTGCTACAGCCATTTTAATGATCCCACTCATCAAGCCTCAGAGGGGTAGGGGGGTTTGCTTAAGCCCGGAATAATGAAGCAGACTTTTTATAGCCTCCCCGTTGATGGGCTTCTCTCTCGTTTGTGTCTGAGGAAGAGAGAATACTAGTTTTGGCACTGATGCTAAAAACCTTCCCACATGTTATTAAAAGATCGCTAACTTATACTGTCCAGATGGTGTGTAAAAAAAAAAAAAAAGCACAGCACAAGAGATGCTGTGAGGAAGGAAGTCGAAGCTCTGCTCAGTCCCCTCTGAAAACGGGAGAAGGTTGCCCTTCAAAGCAGCGGGGGTTTAATGTATGTCTTCTTTCGCAATCATTTATCCTTCATTAACACATTAGGCGGCTGCTGACAGTTTCATATCAAACCTTGCTCGCTAATTATAGAGAAATCTATCATTGTCATGGCTGAGACGGTTAAGAGCTGTGGCCTGTTGGCCCCGTCACAGATTTAAAGGGCAGACCAACATTACAGCCTGGTGGCAAACACGAGCCGCAGGGAGGAAAGCAGCAAGGCAGTGCCTGGATAAAGTATTCATATCCCTTGAACTTTTACATGGAAACGAGTTTATTAGGACTTTATGTCACATAATTGAGAATTTAAAGCAAAAGTACATTAGAAACCTGAAGAGTAGTTGTAACCATCCCCCATTACTCTGATACCTGTAAGTCTGTGGAAAGCAAATGTCTCTTTAGTAAATACTATGTCATTTATTCTTATTATACATAAAGCCTTTCTGTAAAGGCCAAAAATGAACATTAGAGAGCAAACAAAGAAACACCCTAGGTTTTTTTCTAAAATTATATTATTTTAAAAATAGCATTGGGCCGTAAAACTTTGAGCATCTTACACTTTACACAATTACCAAGAGCTGTAGAGATGAGTATTTCAGTAGGGATACTGAGGGATGATAGGGAAATGAAGAGACCTAAATATTGGCAATCATGAAAGAAGACCTGTTGGAAGCTGCAAATGACTGTAGGCTGGATTGGAGGTTTATCTTTCAGCAGGGCAGTGGCTCTCATCTTACAGCCAGAGTAACAACGGAATAGTATAGATCAAAGGACATTGTTGAGTTACATTAAACTTAGAATCTATGACTAGATTTGTAAGATTTCAGATGTAAATGCAACGAAACATATTAACAAACTCAAGCTATTCCATCTTTTATAAATGTTAAGGGGGATTAACACTTAGAGTGATCACTGGTATTGTGCCAGAGGACCACCAGGCTGCACAACACAAATAAAAGCATAAGCATTTAAAAAAATATTACATGCAGGCAATCGTTTATTATCACTGTGTACTTATGAATATTTCAGCAGCAATTAGCTGCCAAGTGCAGTTTGTAAAGTAGCAGAAACCTGCTGCTTAAGTCCAGTAAGGCTACTTGATCTGAGTTTCAGATCTGTAGGAATGATCAGAGGAGAAGCAAAGGAGAAAGAAGATGAGTTGAAGGGGGGCGGGTGAGATTTCTGTCAAATCAGTTTCCTTTCTTTAACACAACCTTTCTTCCCCCCTCCTCTGCCTTTTTTTTTGTTGATCCCTGCCCCCAGGCTAAACTCACATCCTGGGTAAAGGAGACTCCCGGTTCCTGGTTCAGTGAATTCAAACGTGGTAAACTGGTAAGCCTGACTTTTAAGTCCCTTTCCCTTCCCTGAACACTTCTTATATTTTACAGAGCAAAATGGCAAAATGGCCCAAAGACTCGCCAGGCACTTGGTATAGTCGTTACAAGAGAGGTTCGCTGGTAAGTGGCTCTGCCTGCGGTTCCAGAGTCCCGGCTTTGGCCTGGACTCTGCATGGTTGGTTCTGGTTCTGCACTGTGAAGTATGTATCAAGCCTGGCACTTTCTTGTAGATTCATAATTCAATAAGATGCATGAGCTACATAAGCTACATTCTCCTTCAGTCCAGCATTGAGAAAGAAATGGAGGAAAGGTTTGTGGAAAGAAGGATAACTTGATGTAAATTTGGAGTTTCACCAATTTCCAGCTCTGTTATCCAGTCCATTATACCTCTTCTCCATGAAAAGAGCTTTTCTTAAGTAACTCAGTGCCTTTACATTATGACAATTACACCCCATGCCCACCCTTCTGATTTCTTTCTTAAAAAAAGTAGAGCATTTATACCCAAACATATTTATATCCCTCTTTGCTGCTGCTATCAGCTGATCCTATAGTCTTACCCTGATATTATAGCTCCAGGTCAATTCAGTCATGGCACTTAGTTACTACCCACAAGCTTCTGGGTCCTCGGTCTGTTGGCTTGTGATGATCAAGAGGTAATGTTTCTCCTGAGACGTATACATGGTGTACAGGGCAGAGAGTGAATGGGGATCAGCCAAGCTGTTCCTGAATATGAACCACAGTGCTGATATTCAGAAGCCTGCATTGAAGAGCAAAGTCTTGGATTCAATGTAATATTCATCATCTGGAAAATAAAACTGGAAAAAAAGCTATTGGTTTAACCAGACTTGATTTCCAAACCTAATCCCTTCTAATTCCACCCATCCATCCATTCAGCAAATAAGGCCCTGTGAATTTCAGATTCCTTAATTTTAAAAAGTACTGGACTTTATTTTTTGAATATCAGCACTGTGGTCGTGTGATATGCATGCGCATGCAAGTGTGGGCTCCTGTGCAAACAAAAACAAGTCGAGTAAGTCAAACATCAAGAATTGGACTGCTTGCTGCTGTAGCTGCATGCATACATTCAGCATGCGCTCTGCACTCAGTAAGTCCTGTTTGTCTGCAAGGCGAAGTGGATCTAATGGATTCCTGATGGTTGGTATTCAGATTGTCATTTAAGGCCATTGAAATAAAATGGATCAACTGGGATTGGTTCCAGATGTATCTAATAAGTCTGGATAATGAAGCCCTATAATCGTCTTAAATGGATGTAGCCCATGCAAGCATGAAAGTAGGGAGGGTGGATTCCGAGTTAATTACAAGGTATTAAGCATGTAATTAACACCCTAGTTTCTTTTCCAATTTTAAAAATATGCTTATGTGGGTTTTAGATACTACACATATATTCAGCTAAAGTGTCTAAGTCTGCTTTAGAAGTTCCACATTGAATTTTAAATTGAATCATAGCTTTACAGCATGAAGTTGCAGCGTAGTCCTGCATCAGTTATCCTTTTGTAGTGATTTAATACACATACATTATCAAAAATGCACATATGTCATTCAGGAATCAGGCTGGTATTTAAAAAAAATCACTACTTTTATTAAAGCCCAAAGCTTGTAATTAATCTATAAAGTAAACACACTTTGTTATTTGGTGCAAGAACAGATTGAAAGAATTATCGTTTTTTGCAGCTTGCATCGATACTCATATAAGCTCTGATTTAATAAGAAAAAATGAACAGTTTTATGCAGAAAAATTGAAAATTAAAACAAGCAAAACCCATTTTAAATTAAGGTATAAAGTTGGCATCAACTGAACTAAGACCCTAGGATTTAGCCTTTCTGTGCATACATAGTTAAGTATGAAGACTATAATAAGCAGTCAGTATCTCAGCTGTAGTGAAAATTCTTCTGAACAACCTAAGTGTTAAAAAATGTATAAAAAAAAAAGCCCAGATCCACAGGATATCTGATCTATTCAAACAACTCCAATTATTTCTGCATTAGCCTGTTATTTAAAATCATGACTAATTATTTCCACTGAACAATTTTGTCACTAATCTTATTAATTATGCTGTGTTACAGGCAACACTGCAGTACAGCTAATGTTGTTAAAACAGAGATAAAACAATTTAGAAATTACCCTTTTTCTTTATGATCTATAGCTTTTACTGTTTTACTGAAAATAATGTTTACTTAATATTTTTATGAAAGGTTTTTGCATTTTTTTTGTCTTATAAAAAAGAGAGAGATCAATTTGTGTCAAAGTTTCAATGTTTCAGATTCACTAAAGCTGAAATCGATTCCAAGTGAGAAAGCAAAAAGTTTGTGACCCAAGCTGACCTAAAAAAAACTTAATGATAGCCAAAATAAAAACTAAAAGGATGATCAATTTGATGTACGATCACATTTAAGTCAATTTGGGGATTTTCCACCATTTACAGCGCCACGTTTAAAGCTCAAGATTTTACCCTTGTTTGTTAGCAGCTGAGTGAAACATAAAAATAGGAAAGGTAAAGCACCTAAACTGTTAAAATATCAGATTTGCATCATTATAACACTACCTTAGTGGGTCTTATCTTGCCGGGAGTTTCTTATGAAATAACCTTGGATAGTAGTTAAGCAAAAGTTTAAGTCGGTTAATGAGACACTTAAAGCTTTCCTCACGTTTAAATTTTTCCCCTGAATCCATAAACACTATCTCTCAGTTTTGTAATGCTGTTGCAATGTTAATCTCTTCATGTGGTGTTAATAAATCTGATTCTAAATAGTTTTTTTACCTTAAGCTGCTGGTATAGATGGCAGATCGGCTGACTACAATTGGAAAGCGTTTAATAAAAGCAGAACTCATTGTTTAGAACAGTTGTGAATAAACTACTGTGGGGATGTTTAGGAATCTGCTTGCACCTATATGGAGATAAATAATATGTGGATAAAGTGTGTCCAATATTTCACAGAAAGTACGACGCATGGAAACTGGGTGTTCAAACAATAACTAAAGGAGATGTTTATAATGTTGTAATGGCTTGGCGTATTATGGTTATTTTAAAGAAGTGAATCTAGCATTGTCAGCTGGATCTGCTTTTGTGGAAAATCCCTGACATCCAGTCTATAGAGGTTTCTGAAACATAGCAAGAGCTGCAGCCAACAACTGTGTCTAAAATAATCTTTAAACTTATTTCACACAGGAACTTCTCAGGTTTCTCCACTAACTCTTTCTTTAGAAATTATTTTGTTGAAACCCTGTTTATTCAAAAGTATCATTATAGTTTGCCCTATTTGCTTTACTCTCACTAAGAGGACAACAGTCTCAGAACTTTGGATCTAATGCAAAGTTTTTGAGGTTTGAAGATTCATAAAAAAAAATTTAAATAAAGTTTGATGGCTGGAGTCTCTGTAAGGTGGAAAACATCCTCATCTTAGCCTGACTGTTCAGATAAGAATTTGTTTTTTTTCCAGATTGATGCATCGCCAGTCTGTAAAAATGAAGAGATCGCTCTTTCTTTTTTATTCTTCCTCCCAAACCTGTTCTTATTGCTGGTGGTTCAGGCATCAAATCTATAATGGTGACAAGTGATAAAAAAGCACAAAAAAAAATCCAAACTGATCTATATTTCGTCTTTGTCAATGTTGCAATTTCCACCGGCTAAAGTTGGACAGGCTATGACATCAATCTAGGTTTGAAACTGTGTCTAAACTACAGCAGAACAGGAGGTGAAAATACAATGCTGATATTATTAGGGACTGCGTTGTGGTGAGTGAAGGGCAAACTGGAAGGGCGACATACCCTCAGCAGACTAAAACCAGCCTGATACCTTTAAACTCACAGATTATATACAGTTTATATATGATTGCTTAGATTATTTACTGATAGCTAATTCAATTCAGAGTTCAGTATATTTTCCATCTCCCCCCTAAAAAGAGAAAGTAAAAGCAATTTCAGTATTAAGATAATGAAATAGAATAATTAGGTAACATGTCCAAGTTACATTAGACTGAGGTGTATTGGCTCGTTTTCATATATGTCTCCTGGAAATATGTTGTTTCTCCCATCGTTCACCTTCTTTTCTTCCCATCTTGTTGTTAAAGTGGAATCCTGGTTTTCAATTTTGTGTTCTTACTTTCACCCCAGCTCTCTTACGTGGATGCTGAGGGAAATCCCATCGGCGTGGTCCAGATGACCTTCCTGCGCCTCCTGAGCGCCGCAGCCCGGCAGAACATGACGTACAACTGCTACCACTCCGTGGCGTGGCAAGACCAGCAGCAGGACAACTATGACAAGGCCATCCGCTTCCTGGGATCCAACGACGAGGAGATGTCGTATGACAACAACCCCTACATCCGCGCTGTGGTGGATGGATGTGCGGTGAGTTGATGACCTTGAGTTTGTAGTTTTTTCAGACGAACACAGTCAGTGAGCTTTGATTTTCTTTTGAAGTGGCTCAGTCAGTTAGATCCTTGAAACAGCGTGTGATGTTTTGAGTCTTCCGTTTGTTTTTTCTCTGGCATTAATTCCCCCCCTCCCGCTATGCTGCTCTCCTCCTTTTACAGCTGAAAAAGAGCTACGAAAAGACTGTACTTGAGATCAACACTCCGAAGGTGGAGCAGGTACCTTTTGTGGACATCATGTTTAACGATTTCGGCGGTTCCACACAGAAGTTTGGATTTGAAGTGGGGCCCGTCTGTTTCATCGGCTGAGACCTTTCACCAAGCAAATGGAGGACAAAAAAAAAACACAACCTACTTTTGTTTTTCAAAACGAAGATAAACAATTTAAAAAGTAATAGGACAATGCTATTTGTAAAAAAACTGTTTCCATAAAGCAACAAGAGTTCAAACATAATTATGACAGGATTACAGCGAAAAATCTAAAGGAATTGAGAAAATAACCTTGAAACCCCACTGTGCCTTCTTTATCATGTGCAAGTTTTGAAACTGGAGTCTGCCTCCTTCCTCCTACACACAAACTAATGGCCCACCCCCATTCTTCACGTTTGATTTTGATCCTTTGGTCTGAAAGAAACAACGAAGGCGACCCTGAGAGCTGCAGCCGTTCCAGATGGTAGCAGTATTTACCACGGACAAATTCCGATTCTTTTTTTTATCATGCTCCCCACCCATCCCACCCGGCTCTCCTTTATCTCCCTGCCTTTTTCCACCTCGCTGTTCTTGGTTTTGTTTTCTTGTTTGTGCATAATTGTCTCCCCATTCTCTTTGGAATGGGCCTTATATATTTATATACATATAAATATATATAAGTGATTTTTTTTTTTTTTTCTTATGTTTGTAAGTACATTCTGTATATTTTTCCTGGTAATGTTTATTGCTTCTGGCTTCAAAACATGCATGTGACTGTACTAATCATGAGGTCGTCCAACAAGAAACGTCTTAAATCTTAGAAACGCATCTAACCCGAGGATATTTGAATTGTTAAATGAAAAAAAAAACAACAAAAATAATAATTTGGAATTCTGTCTTTGTGGAGCACACTTTTATTTTCTTTTGTAATTTAAGAACAGATCAGAAATAAAAGATGAAAACACGGTCTGTGATATAAAGTACAATACATTCCTCATTTTGTACCTTTATGAACAAAAGCCCTCTCTGGTGGAAGTGTAATTAAGTTAATAAACTGCTTCTGTACTTTTTGCTGAAATATTCATCTTACTGTGCAGTGGAAGGTAATGAAAAAAAGAAAAAAAATCAAAACCTAGGTGCTATTTTCTCTCCTCTGTGGTGCTATGTATTTTTTTTTTCTGGTTTGTGTTGTTTGAATAAAAGAAAAAAACTTGTGGCGACAATACTTGCAACGCTGGGCAGCGCCCCCTCCCTCCCCCCCTGCTGACTCGGTTTACGAGATGGATCTCTGCTGCAGCCGCTTCCCTCCGTTAAGGATTCTGAATGGCATTTCTCGGTGTCGCCACCCGCTCAATGGAATGCACAGATCAGATTAGTCTACCTGTGACAGATGTTAGAAAGACAAGAGGGAAAGATCTTGAAAAAAAATCCATATCGCCCCCCCAACACATTGGGCTGGTGGAGTTGGCAAAATGGACATGTTGCAACAGCTCTAAAGGGATATATTGCACCCTGACCAAATAAATATTTAGCTTTAAGGAACTTTTATGTTTGAGAAACAACTTGAAAAAGTCACAAAATTAGCCTTTCTAGTAAATGTTGCTCACGCAGGGATGGTTTTCCTCATGTCATAATGCTTTTTTTTTAACTATGCACTCTCTATGCTTATGACCACTAGTATCTACCACAGAATTTTTACAGCTCTTTATACATAGGTTTGTTTTATTTTCCGTTTTTTTTTTTTATCTATATGTGACTTGAAGCCTTTCCTTTAGGACGACTCAGTATGCTTGTAGATCTTTGGCTCTATTCTTCATGGTGCGGCAGCACATCTACATTAATCACTTTGCTCTCAATGAACCGGAGAAAAAATTTAAGAAAAAAAAAAATGCAACTTTTATTTTATAAATTTCCAGATTTCGCATTGATGCTGCCTTTGCTTTGTTTTACTTTGTAGATTTCCATTTGTAGTGTCTGGTTTTTTGTTTTTACAGTTTTTTTTTTTTTTTAAATAAAAACAGAAAAAAAGAACCTGTGTTTAAGGGTGAAGAGGATAGAGTATCATATGGGTTTTTTTTTATGTCAATAAATTCAAGTTTACTGTGGCCATCCACTCCTGTATCTCTTTTGAAGCATTAAAACCTATCTGTACGCATGAAACTGTAAAGTTTTTTTCCTTGTGTTACAAGTTTGTTTGAGCCACGTGATCTCCACTCGGCGCTCCGTTTCATCAGGATACATCCGTTTTCTGGTGCCACCGACGGGACAAGAAAGTTCATGTCCGAGTGTGAAGTGGAGAAAAAAAAATGATGAACTTGTAACTCTTACCAAAGCCAATGTCCATATGTAGTATATTTATTGTAATATTTAAAATAAATGATAAATGATACCATAGTGAAAGTCTAAGAGGCCCACTCTTTACATGCACACAGGAAAGCACATTTTCTTTGACATTATAATCCTCTTTGATGGTGCTTTTCACAATAACCTCAAATGCAGTCATCAAAAACAGTTGTTTTTTCTTTGCTTGTTATCTGATGGCTGTGTGTAACATTAGCTGTAATTCCGTATATGACTGATTGGGCACCTGTACAGTCATAAAGGTTCTTACAGGTGTTTTTCAGTATGCAATAACACAATTTATAGTTCCACAGAATAAATGCAAGAAGGAAGAACTCCAACTACATCTTGTGATTCCTCCATCCTGCTCAATGGGCTCTTCCAGCTTCCCCTCCTCTAGGTCCCCTCGACCCAACACTCCAACCCCAAAGTCAGTCAGTTTTGCAAGGTTTTACAAAAAGTTAATAAAATTCCTATAATGTGACCTATAAAAACACTAATAACTGAAACGATACATTTTTGATAAATAGAGACATATTTATACACACATATATATATATTATATATATATATGTGTGTGTGTGTATATATATATATATATGTGTGTGTGTGTATATATATATATATATATATATATATATATATATATATATATATATATAGTATATATACAAAAAGGAATAAAAACACAAACAGAATATACAGTGAAATTTCAACAGCATTTTTTTTTTAATTGAAACCTTGATTTTTTTTTTCAGAAATTCAAGTTTTGAAAAAAGTTAAATCTGAAGTACTCTACCACGTAAAACATATCCTTTATTTTTATTTATTTTGTTATTTTTTGTTTTTAATGAAAAAAAAAAACGCAGAAATACCCATTTAAATATGTGTAAATTGAAAGCTGCATATATATCATTAGTACATTTTGAAACATTTGTCCTGTAGCAGATTCATGTTGTCCTGGGCAGTGAGCCATATCGTACCCTCCTTATTAAAACATTGTCTGGGTAAAAATGCACCTCTAACCCTTACACTTCTTTCAACAGAGCATGCATGTAATCATGATAAGATGAAAAATGCGACTGAATGTTCCCTCCCAAGGAGTTTTTTTTTTTTTTTTTAAGTTATTCGGCTAATTAAAGTTCTGCTAAACCTTGTCATGCATCACTGATTCCAATAATCTGCTTTCACCAGATCCCTGCACCACTTTAAGCAACTCATTAAGAGAAAAATTTGCACAGAAATCATTAAGTCTTTCTTTCTTTCTATCTTGAACCACCATCAATATTTAATGCCATGTTTACAGGGTGATCAAAGTGTGAGTGCAGCATCCTGGGTGAGAGAAACCAAAGTAAAATACTTACTAAGCACATTGCTACGTTGAAAGGCAGTTGTGAAAAGTGGGGCATGTACAGTAAATGGTTTGAGAGCAGGAATAAAAAGACAGAGGAGCAGATCTCTTCAGTTTTAAAGACATCAAACCAAAAGTAGAACAAACCTGGGTATAGAAGGTTTAGTAAGTTATAATTTAGAAAGACAAAAAATATGAATAAATTCCATTGTTAAAAATAATAAGTCCAAATATACATTAATCCTCTCTGATTTATTTTCTTTGATAGATCAGCATTTGCTTTCAATAAAATGCTATAGGGTGAGTAGTGGACCTCCACCCTTATATGCCTATATACCATATGAAATTATAGACAGACAGACAGACAGACAGACAGACAGACAGACAGACAGACAGACAGACAGACAGACAGACAGACAGACAGACAGATAGAAAGATAGATAGATAGATAGATAGATAGATAGATAGATAGATAGATAGATAGATAGATAGATAGATAGATAGATAGATAGATAGATAGATAGATAGATAGATAGATAGATAGATAGATAGATAGATAGATAGATAGATAGATAGATAGATAGATAGATAGATAGATAGATAGATAATTGTTCCCTTATGGATTCTGCTATTGCCCTGTTGGTCCATCCTGTCACATAAGGTATTTTGATATTCTAATCTTCACCTAACCATGCTTTTACTTGTGTAGTATAAATTTTTGCCTATCTCTTCCACACTAGATGACAGAAACACAGATTTAAACAACTTTAAAACGGTCAATGGCTGAAAATGGCATTAATGATATGCCTAGTTAAAGACTCTGAATCTGCTGAAAACTGGATTAAAATTTACAAGATAGGGAGCACTGGAATCTTAGGATGTTCTGAATTTTAGAAGCATCCTGGTTTCATAGTAGTTGCCATCCTGTACTCTATACGGCTCTGACTCCACCTGGATGACCTCCTAAAGAGACAGCAGATGGTTTTTTGCAGGATCTCTTCCCACAACAGCATTAAGCCATTGGTGAGCCTCTGGATACTACTGGTAGCATTACCTGATACATCACCGTAGAGTCTGAAGTTTCAAAACAGGTCTTCCACTTAGTGGTCACACTGAGCAGTTCATTTGAAAACACTTCTTACTTCACCAGGGGTGACAACTGTACCTCAGAGCTCATAGTGTGGATCCAGATACAAAAATCTCCGGCTAGCTGGGGGTCATTTTATAAAGCTTTTTTTTATTTCAGTAGAAAGAAAGCAGGTAATGATGAAGCCACTGGGTAGCTGTTCTGCTATTGTCTACTCCATCACTGTCTCACATGAAGCCTGTATATCTGCTGTGCACTTACAGAACAAAATAAAATGTTTTCATACTCTTCAAGAACAATCATAACCTCTTTTTCAACAAAGCTTGATGTTAAGTCTGATTAAATATTTCCTTTGTATGGCAAATTAGGATCATTACCTTCATTTCATAAAGTTACTGTATATACTTTTAAATGCTATGCTAATAAATGTATTTTGAGAAATCATTGCCAAATGAAACCTAACCAACAGATTTAGTCAGTTTTTTGATTCTAGCTTGTTCTTTGATTGCAGCTGCTGTTCGGCTCCATTTAAAGACTAAAATGTGACATGCGTTCTTCCACAATTGCCCACAAATTTGTTTAAATCTTTAATTGTCTACTGAATTCAATTCAGTTTATTTATATAGCGCCAATTCAGATCACATGTCGTCTCAAGGCATATTACAGAGACAATTAAACCAAATCATACAATCAAAACATTTAAAAGTTTAAAAAAAACAAAAAACAAATGATTGCATCGACTCATTGACATGAAGGCCATCTCTCACACCAAGCATGCTTGTCGCGGCAGTGGAGAGGAAAAACTCCCTTTTAACAGGAATAAACCTCCAGCAGAACCAGGCTCAGTGAGTGGTCATCTGCCGAGGCCGACTGGGGTTCAAGGAGACAGAAGTAGCGATAGAAAAAGAAGCAAAGACACAAAAGGCAACTGTCAACCAGCTCTACAAGTGGTCCTGTCCAGGACACACACAGCCAGGCAGAAAAGCTCCGAGCCAGCTCCAATGTCAGAGAATGAAAGAGAGCACATCCAGGCAGTCATAGTCAGAGAAACAGGACTACACCGAAAAACAGCGTGAGCTTCATAATCTATCAACAAAGGTGTTGATGGCAGCCTCACTGCTGATATTTCTCTCCAGGAACAGACCAGATGAAGCTACTATGAGAAAAAGCAGAGAGAGCATAATGCTTGAGATTGAACTAATGCATTCTGCAGAGTGGGTGAATAGAGATAGAATGAAGCTCGGGATAACCTGAGCCCCTCTAACTATAAGCCTTATCACAATGTAGACACTTTAGGCCTCACAGACTAAAACTAGTAGTTGGTTTCAAAGATCTGTCTCTCATTCTACTTTTAAAAATTCTAGTAACCGCTAGTAAGCCTACTGATTGATAGAAATGTACTATTTTAGGAACATAGGGAACAATCATATATTTAATATAAGATGGAGCTTGGCCATTTAAGTGAGAAGGAGGTTTTCAAATTATATTCTGGATTTAACAGAAAGCCGATGAAGAGAAGCCAGGATAGGAGAGATATGATCTCTCTTTTTAATTTTTATCAGAACTCTTGCTGCAGCATTTTGGATCAGTTGAAGGCTTTTAACTACAGTTTGTGGACTTCCTGATAGTATCTACTGTAGGTAGCTAGGTCACAATAGTACAGCCTTGAAGTATCAAATGCATGAACTAGTTTCTGGACAGGATTTTTCTATTTTTTGCAACATTTCGCAGTTGAAAGAAGGAAATTCTAGAAACCTCTTTAATATCGGATTTAAATGACAGGTCCTGATCAAAAATAACTTAATTTCATTTACTTTATTAAAAATGTAATCTATAATAATTTACTTTATTATTTGAGATAAATTTAAGCCAATCAAAAATTAAGTGACTGACTAATCAGCTTCTTTTTCAAAGACTCTGGTCCAAAGACTATAACTTAAGAAAATATCGTCACAGCATGATGCTACCACCACCATGTTACACTATAGGTATTTGTATTCAGAGTGATGTTCAGTGTTATATCATTTGTTATATTTGGCTTCTGCAAACAGAATGTTTGAAGTTGGTCCAACAGTTTTTTTTTTTTTTTATAATCTGATGAGGGCATCTTGCAAAGGTTTCCTGCGTGATGATGGTAAATGTTATCTTCCTTCAGCAATGGCGTTTGTCTTCCCATCTCTGCAGCTCCTCCTGAGATATCCTGCTCCTCTTGCCCGAAATGTCCATTTCTGTGAAGGTTTTTATAACTTAAACCTTCTGTAAACTTCCTCTCAACTTCAAGCCCTACCTTGCTATTTTTTCTGTCCTAGATAATTGTGTTTATCTTAGTTTAATCACCTTCTCAAGCCTTCAAAATGAAATTCACCTTATAGAGAGG